TGATAGGTCGACTAACTAACTAACTAACCAAGGGAGCCATGCGCTTCTTATTATTCGTTGTGTTAATTCCCAGTGTCCAGATAGTTATATAAAAGTAATTGAAGTAAAGGACCCTTTTCCACGCCGTCAGGCGTTTTGGGCAAACAGCGCTAGTCCTATATCAAACCAATTGGCACTGGATGGGTGATGTGTTCAGCATCACGCTGTCCGTCTTTACTTCCCTAGACTGTACCTGGTACACATTTTAGACTGAAACAACCTGGAAGCCAAGGTAATTATTGAAATATTTTGGCTTCGTCAGGACCCGAACCCACTACCTCTGAATCCTCAGGCGAGCGTCTAGCTGCTATACCATCCACCCCATAAACTATATGAGAGAGTATTTTTCCCTATGTAGTTCAGTAATTGTGTGATATGTCTTTAGTTTTTAAAAAAAGTTGTATAAATAATTAGTTTGTTTCTTTCATGTAATTTATAGGAGTCTGCAGCACTCTGGCAGTATTCCTGTGCAATGAAAGTGATTCTTTACAAACCAAATGACACCAATAACATGGCGATAAGAAAGAACTCTGGTCTAGAAATCTGCCAGGTCAGATTATTTATGGGGTCTGTTTATTTTGCTGCAGTTGTAAGCATGTTCACAGGTAGATATATTGAAGTTCAGAAACATATTTGTGTATTTTTCAAAGATGAAAAGTAGTCAATTGAGCACTTAAAATATTCTACCCTGCATTTGAGAAACTATGAAACAAATCCTTACTAAAGTAAAGGAAATGTGTGTGTAGGGAGGGGAAGACAAATCCTCACTAAAGTAAAGGAAATGTGTATGTAGGGAGGGGAAGACAAATCTGAACCTGTATTGCTTGTGGTGACTGCACATATGGCCCTAGATCAGCATTGGGCAAGCATCACTTCGGAGGTATTGGTATTTAGCGTCCATTTGGTATTTTCTTCAGGCCATGACGGTTTGATGTGAAGTGAACAGGCAGATAGACTGGCTGGTTCTGCACCACTTGGTGTATATTGATTCATGACAAGCTAGATGTTGTGAGAGCCCTTTGCAGAGGCACAAACAGATCACTAAGATGAGAATGGTGCTACGTGTTACCAGGGGATTTCGTCGACGCTCAACACTCAAGGGAAAGGCAAGACAGATAAACATTCAGGCCGTTACTGGTACTATCGTAAATGGAACTGTGCTTGCTGCTGAAAATGGGGATGGAGCGCTTATGGAAATGTTCTGAGTGATGTCGATTGTTGATTCAACATTCAGGTTAAGAATTGATTTTTACTCCGGATTCATAGTGTTCAGTTTTATATTAATTATTTACTCCTGACTCCACAAATATTCGGGATTAGGATCAAGCGCACTGAAACTGCTGAGCGAAGCAGCAGGGTAGGCCTCTGACCGGCTGTGGAATAAACGAATTGATGTTACAGGTAATCTCATAATCTCAGCAAGCAATCCCAGGTCTCAAAGACAAACGTCTGCAAGGCACCAGACGGCATTAATAAGTGCAGGTTCCAATGTTGGGTTTTTTTTTGGTTGCCCTCCCGAAATCGGCAAACCAACCGTCTATAGTGATCAGCAGCCACACTTGTCAGGCTCGAACATCACGTACAAGACGCCCCTCCCCCTTTTCTCTCTCTCTCTCTTTCTCTATTTGCCCCCTTCCCCAACTCAAATGTCAGTGGTCGTCCCACCAGGAAGCAGCAATAGGACATGCCACCCCATACAACATCTCCAGCAATAGACGGGAGAGGAAGGTCTCGTGTAAGACGGTAACAACCGCCAAGGAGAAAGCTGTGCCTCCTCGTCGGCATTAGCTGAGACGATGCCATGACTTAGTGTTCACATTTAGGATTGGTTATTTACTTCTGACTTAGTGTTCACATTTATGATTGGTTATTTACTCCTGATTTTCAGTTTTCATATTTCTGAATGGTTATTTACTCCTGATTTTCAGGGTTCACATTTAGCATTGGTTGTTTACTTCTGACTTAGTGTTTACATTTATGATTGGTTATTTACTCTTGATTTTCAGTGTTTACATTTCTAATTGGTTATTTACTCCTGATTTTCAGGGTTCGCATTTAGGATTGGTTATTTACTCCCGACTCAGTGTTCACATTTAGGATTGGTAATTTACTCCGGACTTAGTGTTCACATTTAGGATTTGTAATTTACTTCTGACTTACAGCGTTCACAATTAGCACTGGATATTTACTCCTGACTTACAGTGTTCACATTTAGCATTGGTTATTTACTCCTGATAAATAAAATTCGTTGCCTTATCAGAAAATAGAATCTCCGTTCTCCAGTTCTCACTCAACTCTATGGCCACCCATACTGCACACATTCTTCAACATTACTAGAAAACAAATTTAAGATATTTATTAACAATACTAATTTATTTGAAGTACAAGTTTAACCAACCGGACAACAAAGAATTCAGATCACATAAGTCTGACTCCTACTATCAAGAACTCACTGTGAAATACTCAACATTAGTATAATGTCCAACATTAGGCATCCAACATTATGCTAACAAATAACATGTAATGAAATACTTAAATGCTATTACTATTGAGGAACAATTTTAATCTCCAGATGAAATATTTGACCAAAAGTAGCCAGAAAAAAATCAACAATATAAAATGATTTGTGTATAATTTTTCCCCACTGGAACTGCAGCCTGAAAGACTGACATCCATTGTGTGTCACTTGTATACACATACATATTGAGAGACAGAGTGAAACAGAATAAGTGGGCTTGGAATATGAACAATTGAATATTTCTTAAAAAATATCTCATGATTATTAACTAGCATGAATACTAAGTGAGGGGGCAGGAGCTCAGAATACTAGCTGAGATGCGGGAAGGTCACTGTACTCGTATTTCCCGAGAACTGCACTGAGCGTTTGCTCGCTGTTCAGTGTGGCAAAAGTGATTTGTACGAACTGAATGGGTTGGTTGTTAAAAAAGAAAAGTAAAGGTCCCTTTTCAATGCCTTTAAGCATATAAGACATATAGGGCTAGGCCTATATTTTTTTGATAGACCAATTGGCACAAGATGGGTGATTGGTCAGCATCAAACTGGCCACCTTTACTTCCTGGGACTGCACCCCATACCCACTCAAGGGTGGGTCGACCTGGGAGCCATGGTAATTTTTTTGAACAGTCTAGGTCTGCCAGGAAGCGAACCGACAACCTTCCGAAATGCACTCAAGTGTATAGCTTCTTCGCCACGGCGACTCCTGAACAGGTAGATTGGGAATGAGTAAAACCGCTTCCTCAGTGAGACTAGCTTGCATTGTGTGTTAAAAATCACAAGTTACCATCTCCAAATTGGGGAGATTAGTAGGGTAAATCAGACTGTGCTGGTTTATTCGTCAAACGGACGTTGCCAGGATGGGAGTGTGACAGTGCAGCAAAGACTTGTTATAATGTTTTGGTAACTACTACTTGAGTGTTCTATTTTGCGAATGAAAGCAACGAGAGACTTCTGGCATATCCTTTATCCTCATATTGTTGTTGTATGGCGTGTAGATAAAAGTATATTACTGATGCTTTAATGGTCTTACTAGTACTTGAATTAAGAAGGCCTTAAGCCCACATACATCTCTAGACAGCTTTGTTATTAGTCGCACGATTACCAATTTCACAACAGCATTCCGTGACTCAGTGATTCATTTCTTCTTTTTCAGACCCTTATCCCCAAAACAGCAGAGGCCCTGAACTAACTCACACCAAGTCGTCATATCCTTTACAACTGGATGCAGAGTACCCCATGTCTTCCCCCACCTTTTAACTTTACTCTCTAGCTTCCTTATTGATTTTCTTGTATCCTTTATTCTCATGCCCCTATGGATTGCAGTGTACAGACATTCTAAGTATTATATTGTTCTCAGGTTGCAAACAAGTTTCCTATCCAAAGCCAGCATCTTTACTCCCACTCTTAATTCATTGCAATTAGTTTCTTTCTCTCCTGAAGCTCCACATTAGTGATCCCATACCATCAGCTTTGTCTCAACGATTCTGCTTCAAGCCTCATAACATTTCTAGATCTTAATGACAATGTCAGGCTTCTTCTTCTTCTTTCGTTCGCCTGAAAAAAGTTGTCTATATCAGCAGGCCTGTCTCTTGTACAAATTTCACTGTCGTTGTTGGTTCATTCAGTGGTCCATAGAGTTTACCTTTAACTGTTGTTCTTTCTGGACAAAAGGTTTGCCCTAATGTGTCAAATTCGGTGCAGTCCTGGAGTACATGCTCTGCTGTCTGGGGCACCACTCCACAGTGCACATGGCTGATACACCTAATCTTGAATTTTGTGTACATGTGGTTAAGTAATCGGTTCCGAGGCGGAGGATAATGACTTGTTCTGGTCTGTCCAATGTCAGGGTTATAAATCACCAAGACAATGTCAGGCTTATAAATTACCAAGACAATGTCAGGGTTATAAATTACCATTCACTGGCTAAAATAACAGTTCTAGATAACATTCAACATCTTAACATGTGGCCTTCACACAAACAACAGAGCCATAAAACAGCAATAAAACCGAATCACTTCAGGCCCAGACACACCTCACAGATAACATATTGTTTATGGCGTAAGCCGATGTTATGTTGCTCACATCACCCATCCAGTGCAGAATGGTCTTTGAAAATACGAGTCTAGCACTATATACCTGACAGACCAAAGGCTTAGAAATGTCCGTGATCTTTACTTTTACCTTGTGCAAGCTATAAATGTTATGAAAACAAGCACATTATTATATTATAAAGCATCTAAAATTTCAAAACTCCTGTGCCAAACACAAACACATCTCGTATAGAACACATTATTCCTGGTATAAGCAACAAATGTTATGAAAACAAAACACATTACTTTATAACATCCAAAACCTCAAAACATCATGTGCCAAACACATCTCACATTTAAAACATTATTCCTGGTGTGAGCTACACAAATGGTGGACAAAAGTACACTAATACATTATAAGACATCTAAAACTTCAAAACATCCGGTGCCAACGCCCACCAGTTTCCCCATCACAAGCCTGGAGCTTGGTGAGTGAAGGTCATCCTTGTGTCCGGAAACGCAGGCATTCAGCAGAAAGTTCATTGTAGTCTCGAAGGTCATCTTCTGTAAAGGTGACGTATTGTACATAATGTCCCGTCTGTTGAAGGCGTCGTACTGGCCACGACTTGTCATGTAGTCTGCCAGCAGTGAAAGATGGCGGTAGTCGACGGCAATGCCATAAACTCCAAACACATTCTGAATTTCCTATTTAATAAAAATATAGAGGGAATGTCAATTCAGAATACAGATTTGCAATCTTAGAGTTATCAAGAGACATCAGCTAGGATGAATAAATAAACTTTCTTCTTCATTCTCCAGTTGGAAAATCTTTAGTCTAGTGCAAGACAGCCTAGCATACGACATCACAACATCTAGCATGAGAATGTAGGTGGAGGCGGTAACTGCAGCTCTCTGGTGGCTAGAGAATAAGATGCATACACAGATTCTGAAAGCATGCTGAGAAAGGTGAAGACAGGGATGCTTCGAGCAGTGGCAAGCTTCACTGGGAAGGTCACGGGCGGTGAGCATACTTTGGATCTTTTCTCCAGGCCATGCTGGCATAGTGGCTATTGAACAGGCAGATTGGCTGGATCTGCACCACTGGGCGGTCAATTGATATATGACAAGGCGGATGTGGTCAAGGCCCTTTGGGAACAACCAACAGAATTGGTAGAGAAACAATATTATTATGGCCTGGAGAGAATGAGACACCTGGTGGGCTCACTATACTCAGAGGTAAGGCAACACGGACATATAACCAGATTGTGACCGGTACCATCAGTACTGGAACTCTGCGCTGGCTTCTGATGATGAGGACGGAGCACACATGGGAATTCCCCGAGTGCTATGATGTCAATTCTTGACTCAGCTCAACACCTCCAGTTACATTAGCAAAGTATTGGAGGGGAGGTAGGATTTGAGACCTGTCTGTGTGCTCTTTGTAATGTTAGTTAGTTAACAGATTATCCTCACTGCACGTCAGACCAGTCAGTCCATAAGTGCTCAGATCCCCTCCTCAGTAAATCCTGCAGCGTGTAGTGGCTGACGACATCAGTTCTGTTTTTGTTTATTATTCTGCTCTGGCTACCTGAGTAGTGTTCTTGTTTGGCGACACCCCGTTTAACTTGCTGTTCTTGCAGTCTGACCATGGTTGCAGATTCACAGTTCTCAGTTGGTTCATGCAAATGTCTTAAATCTCGTAGAGCATTCAGTATATCTGCCTGGCCCATGGCTTGTCCGGCTTTCACAGTAGCCTTACCTGCAAGTCTATCAGCTTGCTCATTTTCTTGTACCCCCACATATCCTAACATGAAAATTAAACTAATCCTTGTCAGCCGTGAATTCTGCAGAGCCACCAACCACTGCCCTTCTCTATCTTCCTGAGCATTCTCATTGAGTCACTGAGAAAGCTCTTTGTAATGTTTTATGCAAGTTCTTCTTGATGATGCCATTTTATCTTCTGCATGGTTTTCCTCTTGCTCATTTCTTCTGCAAGGGTCTCTGTGGCGGTTGGCACAATAATATTATCATTTGGTAAAACCATTTCATTTTCATAAATTGTATTTTTTGACTGGTGCTAACAAAGGGAGAAAGAATATGATAGGGAAGACTACAATATCACACATCAGACAACAGAAAGATTTAAAAGATACAGATGTGTTGACATTGAACCCACCAGTCAAGAAAACCCTTTTGCTTTAGAAAAAAAAATGTGATTCCTGGGAAATAAACTTGCCAGCTGCTTAAGAATCTAGAGTCATTGATGTCTTTAGACTATGAAATCCAAATTTAATTCAAAATTCGACTTATTAGCGTTCACCGCCTCTAAACTCTGGTGGAATGAAATCAAAGAAGAAGAAGAAGGAACAAACGATGAAAGAACCTTATTTTCAAAGGGTCACAAATTAGGCACGCAGGCCTGTCTTACATTCGGCCCTTCCAAACTCCCATCTTTCACACAGCAGTTGTATTTTATCAATAAAGCATTTTACATTCATGTAATAAATATGCATATTATGAATATCAAGTCAAAAACAAAAGCATGGGTGGTAAACTGCATACGCACGCTCGCACACGAACACACATATATACACACGCAAACCCATTCACCCACTTTCACACACATAGGCACCCAATACACACATACTTACACATCCACATACATACAAGCATGCACACACATATGTACATACACACACACATTTATGTACGTATGCGCGCACGCACGCACACAGAGACAGAGACACACATACACACACCACAAACACACACGCATACAACCAAGATATAAGACACACATAGCTATACAGACACACACACGTAGCTGCACAAAAAGACACCAACAAACACACACAGACATAAACCCACACAGACACACACTCAGGCAGACACACAGTGACATACGCAACATTCACTTATACACATACACACACATGCCGGCACACAGACATACACACAGAGACACATGCACACGCAGACATTAGAAAATATACACACCCATAGAGACACACACAGATACACTCAAAGCCAGACAGGCACAGCCACAGACAGACACAGATACACACGCAGCCCCACACACAGACACATAAAAGAACACAAGAAGAAGCAGAAGTAAAAGAAGAAGAAGAAGAAGAAGAAGAGTTGGTTTCGATCAATAAAAAATGCAAACAGAAAGACACATCAAATTTCAAGAATTTTCCCAAAATATCCAAGTGTCTGTAATACAAACAACATACACAAGTATGAACTATCTGCACTGCCTTTAGCTTTGTGTGTGTCCCACATACAAACAGGGGAAATTTCTGCTACTATATAATTTATGACTGCTTTTATGGCATGCTTTCCACAGAAATCAGCAGGCTATGTCAGGAATTGTCAGGAATGTACCTGCGTGCGCGCACACACACACACAAAGGCACAGGAATATACACACACTCCTACACCAGTCTCACCTTAATAATGACTCTGTTGGCTGCTTCGATGCCATACGTCTGCGCCATGGTGTGAATGCAGTTGGAGTACATTTTATTCAGGTCAAGGATCTCTGGGTACTTGAACATTTCCTAGAAGGGAAGGAAAGAATGTATGCTTTCAGAAGCACTTGTTTACAAAAGAACCACACATTGCATACCCCATTCCAAAAATTACATTACCAAGGGCTTATCTTGTCAACAAAGCAAGGATCTCTAGGGGATATCTTTCACACAAACAATATTTTCTATAACTATGAATATATTACCAATATAAATAGCATAGTTTGCATGACACTGGTAGGGTTAAATTTGTCCCACTAGTGCATGCCACTATGTCAGTAAAACCTAAAGAAATGAATACCTGAGTTTCAATAAGAATCTAAAATAACATTACACTGGTGACATTATCCCCCCCCCCCTTCTGAGCTGTCCAGTCAACATAAAGGCCTTTAACCATACTGACATTATGTCTTAAAGACCTCCAAACAAGTGTGCGGAGACATAATTCTAGTTTAGGAGCATAACATTAATAATGTTTCATATATAAGCAAATACTTTTAATGTAATTTTTACGTAGTTAAAGAGTGCAGCTTGGCCCGCTCACAAAATGTGTGTGTTTATGCCTGCATGCATGCGTTTGTGTGTGAGTGTGTGTGTTAGTGTGAGTGTGTGTGTGTGCATGCATGTGTGCTTGTGCGCACGTGCAAAGGAAGCTAGGGAGACCCCAGATTCCGGCATCCCTGCACACAAAATTTTTTCCCAACTGTCAACATATTTCAACATAAGAGTTTCTCAGACTTCAAAACTGGATGAAAAGCTGAAGCTTCTGAGAAGAAACAGACTGAACACAAATGTTGACAACAGTGGTCCTGAAATCCCATTCTGTAATTGTGGAAGACTTTTCTTTAACCCGGGCGGTCTTGCGAGTCACACTGGCCATCGCTATGGGCTGTGAGTCTCCATGCCTCCTCCTAGCGTAATATAACACTATCATCTGGAAAGACGGAAATGGGCCAATCCGAATTCTAGTTTTTTAGACTAAAGTTTTCAAAATTATCCCAAAACATTAAGATTATAAATATAAAGCAAAGGTTATGTAGTCAATCATAACAGTGAGGGAAGAGCAGGAGATGGCAAAAGTTAGGACTTCACAGGAGTTGTTTGAGGGCTTCTATTTCAGTGTGAGATAAACAGCAGAATAAAATTACATGAATGCCATCGGCACTTTTTGCTGCAATTATGTAAAGCATGCATCAAGCATAGCTTCCTTGTATGGTCATTACACTATGACGAGTGTGTCCATAGTTAGCAAATGATTGAACCTTTTGTCATCAAGTAGGATCGTTGAACGAGGGATATCTGAACCTTTGCGAATATACAGTAAGACACTAGACGGAGGGACATTTGAAACTAAGCAGCCATACAATAAGTGTCTCGACTGATAGATGTTTGAACAAAGGTTTATCATACATTTGGACTTCACTACCTCCGAGACCCCCTGACAGCTCGGCTTGGGCTGATACAGGTCATTATCTGCAGTGCATGACAAGGATGTGTGTCAGGAGTCTTGCATGAGGATTTATAAAACCAGCACAGATTCTGCTGGTGCTCCAGGTGAAACACAAAGTATGTCCTCATGACACATCACAACAGCCTTAACTCTCTGAGTCCCAAGGAATGCATCATTTGTTCACAGGTTCCTAACTGGAAGCCCAATGAACGCATGATGAGCCGATTTTATGACTTTCTTTACTACCACCTGGGCCTGTGATGCTAAACCCACTGGGACTCAAAGAGTTCACTTTCCCTGACACCTTTGACTGAGATCATTGCACCACATATATAAGATATAATGACATTGTAAAGTAAAAGCAAAACTAGCTTCTATGCTGTGAAGCAAAATGGGTTTATGGTGCTAGACTCATATGTTTACAGGCCAATCAGCCCTCACTGGGTGGGGGTCATTATCAAAGCAGCTGACTTTACCTCCCAGAACATTTTTGGCACCTATATTAGGTTCGATCACTTTAGGAGCCCAGGTTATACGCCAAAGAAGAAGAGCATGGGCATTTACAGCACGCTCAGCGGGCAGAACAGTCAAAGAAGCCAACGGCGCCTTCTCCATGACAACCAGCAGCATGACGATGGAGGTGATGGCAGTGACGCAAGCGTTTGCCTGGCTTGAAACACAAAAATACACCCGCATATGTATACTCAGTGATTCAATGAGTATGATCCGGAGGGTTCAGGCAGGTTCAGTGCGAAGACAATGGCTTGAATCAATTCAGAAGTCCACTGTGCGAGGTGTCACCTTTATTTTTGTTCCGGGGCACGCAGGCGTCGATGGAAATGAAAGAGCTGACAGGTTGGCTGGATCCGCTATCACTACCGACGGTCGGCCTATGGATCATGCTGATATTATCAATGCCCTCAGAGAAATGGGAAGGATAGAGGACTTTGGTGGCAGTGAATCCACATCACTCGCCAGAATGGCAGACTTGGGAATTAAGATCGGCACAGCAAAAAACGAGACGCACACCGGACACGTCAGAAGACTTGTTAATCAACATAGAACTGGTACTATTAGCCATCGGACGTTGGGATTCATACTGAGGGGAGGATCTGAGCACCTATGGACATGTCCGGAGTGCAATGATGATAACCCAACTAACTAACTAACTAACTAAGGAGCCCAGGTATTTGTTTTATTTTTTAAATCCTATTTTGACTGGGATTTGAACAGATGAGCAAGCACCAGTGTTAGCCTTTGCACTTAATGTAGCTCCCTATAATGACAGCCATTCTGCCAAACCAGGAAGTTTGCCTTGCCTGTGTGTTTTACCGGACATGGTGTTTACACAGTCAACTCTACAGGATACGTTTACACAACAGACCTTGGTTGTTTACATGATTTAGCACGATTCAGATTTATTGATAGCTTTCTCCTGTGGGTTCAGAGAAACCAGTTTGGATGGGGGGGGGGGGGGGGGGGGGAATAGAACAGACCCATTGACCCCATAACAAGCATCTTATAAACGTTGATTAATTAGGGGGTTTGTTAAAATCGGATGAGTTGGACGAAAAGCTCCAGTATCATGTCAAGCCGTACACCTGCAAGTAGCCTTTATGACTCTCATTTCCACTTCACTTTACAATGTGATTAAACAACTAGGCTTACGAGGTAATGAACGTAAACGGACACTTAAACAACTGGGCGAGGTTGCTGAGAGGGCCTCGAGCTCGCTCTGGACACAACGGAACGTCGTAGGGGACGGGCCGCGGTGAGCTGGTGCTGGTGTCTAGTGGAAAAGAAAGTCTTATCCCTTAAAGTCCATCGTGTCCGAATTGTCTGCCAGTGTCCCTCTGCCACCTGCTAACAAAGTCCAACATGAGTCCGGTAAACCAAACGTAAGCTTGCCACTTGGTCGTCCAGGTATGCAGACCGTTTTAATTATGCTACCGCAACGACTTCTTATCTCACAGTACCTTTTGCAAAGTCACCAATTCGTCTTGTCCCTGTATGATAACATCTGGTAATACGTGCAGCAGGAGAAACCAACCCTGGGCCTCATGAACTCAGGTGGGCCCACTCTCTGAAAATGTCTAGGAGCTCATAGGCCGAAACATTTGTCGACAAGAGATTACTTCTACTGATGATTGGTAGACTCCTGCTGTACATGCTCCCCTGTGGAGTTTCTTCTTATTGGTAGACAAAACTTGTGGCTTAGAGGTTTGTGAGCATGTGCCCTGGTTCGATTTCCATAGTAGCAAATTTAGAAAAAGACGGTTATTGTGGCTTTCAGACTGTGGTATGAGAGTCAGACCACAGAAGGGATTAGTGCCTCACTGGCTTAATATTCCCAAACTGCAGCCAACCTCCATGATGGAGATGGACAACTATTTTCCCTAGACGAAGCTTGTTTAGAATTTAAATAGAACCTAAACTGAAACAAAATTATGTTTTAAATAATATTTTGGTATTCTACAAGAAAGTGACATATCAGGGAAACATCTGATGTAAATGTTGCTGACATAACATGTAACAATGTATGCCTGTAGCAGCTATACCAGTGTTTCAAAAAATTTTCTTGGTTGTAGGGCCTTTTTTCAATTACAATTTATCCACGGCGCCCTAACCTAAGTGAAAGTATGACTATTCGTGTCTTGGTTAAATTAATTATGAAGCTTTCACAATATTTCACATCGCTCCTGTGGAGAGGTTGCGTCCCCCCGATGCACTGCGGTGCACAGTTTGGGAATCACTGAGCCATACACTTGTCCAATAGTTCTCATCCTTACATGGCAGACAGCCAAAGTCATCAAAAAAAAAGGTCAAGTTTTGTCTGACTAGCTGTGCTACAATAGAACTGAGAGTCAGCAGTTCTGAAGTTATAATCATCATCATCGCCTTGCCGACTGGTGTGGGCAATCATACCTCTCCACAATCTGTAGTCCTCAACAGCATGCATCAGTCTGTGTGCTGACACCCCTCCATGCCATGACACAAGGCTGTCAAGAATCGTCTTGTGTTGTCTTTCTGTTTCTTTTTCCACAGATGTTTCCAGTGGTCAGTTCACGTTCCAGTTTCCTTTGCATAACATTATCAGATAATGGTGACTGTCTCTGATGTTTTTGATCAGCCCTCATCTCTTTCTACCCCTTTGTGGGTTCCGGGACCCTTTCATAGGGAAAACAAGAATAGACCCACTGCCTACCCAAAAGCATGTCGTAAGAGTCGACTAATTGGGAGCTTCCTTCGAAGTCAGAGTGCATCTGCCTGAGAGGCATGAACCAACAGTCTGCACACAAATGTGTCAGATCTGTCTAACGGATGCATACACAACACTCAGGTTCTGGAACAGGACTGCAGTCCAGAAGTTGACGAACAACCAGAACTTTCCACCAGAGTTTACAGCTGGTGAATGCAAAAAAGAAGAAAGAAGATCTCTTTCTAAACATTTGGCATGCTCTTTTCAGCTATCAATGGAATTGTAATTATTCTTCTGTAAAGCCACATCTCTGAGGCCTCAACAAACTGTTTGGCTTGTTTATTTGCCCAGGATTGACAACTACATGCTAAAATTAGCTTTAAAGTGTGTTCACCAGCTGTACTCTGGTGAAAAGTTCTGGTTGTTCGCCCATTTGGACTTCAGCTTTGTGCCAGGGCATGAGTTGTGTGCGTACATCCATTGTACTGGCTTATTTGTATGCAGCATGGGTGTTCCTTGCTGCTCAGGCAGGTGCATTACGAAGGGGTCTATTTTTTTTCCCACAATGGGGCTTCAGAACTCACATGGGGATATAACAGAACAAAATGCCACGGACATTACTGTCTTCATGAGCAATCTGTTTATTTACTTTATCTTTTTAATCACATTTTATTTAAAGTTGAAGGGGATGGTGGTGTGGTGGTCTTGCAATATATTCAAGGGAGCACCACCTGGAAAAGTTTGAAAACCACTGCTTTACATGATATGTTCCTAATAACAGTTTGTTAGCAGAGCTTTTAGATTTGCTTAAACAAACATCCCTGACACATACACTCCCTATCTGGCAGTGTTACTACATCTGACTTCAAGCAACTAGATTTGTGTGAATCTTTATCAACTTATTTGTCAGCAATTAACGACAGAAACTAAAGGTCTGTTAGCACAAGCATTTAGAATGAATACATAAGCATAGTTTCAAATGAAAGACAAAGATTATGGCAATAATTCTGTAGGCATTACATGTGTCAATGAGATAACTGAACTGGGTAGTATTTGTAGTATTAGGTATCATACACAGAAACTCGATGGCAAGACTTAGAAGGAATCCTGGCAAACTATATGGTTTGGCATTGGACAGAAGCGATGTCACCAGTGCTATGTAAGATGCATGTCGCAAAGACAATCACGATTACAGGCATGGCTCCATATCCATATCCAGTATGGTGAATATCAAGGTGCAATTTGATGCTGTGAGATAGAGAAATTTCTTAGAGGGTCAAAAGACATTTGATTAATCAATACAGAAGGGCATTCAGTCTTTGTAGAACTACTTGGGAGATCTGAGCACCTAACAGACCTGTTCAGAATGTTGTGATAATAGTCCTTACTAAATATTAATCACTCACCAGTATGTTAACGCCTTCTGTTTTCAAGTGGAGTACACTTTCTCCATCTTCCTTCTCTTCAGACACTAGGGCACGATTGATGCCTTTCACCTGGTGAATGACTGCATTTCTGATAGTCTTTTCCAGGAGTAACTTTATATCCAACTGAAGATAGCTCTGTATGTACTGCAAATATCAAACAAAACAATTCATAAATATCAGTGATATCAGATCAGATAAATCTATGACATCACAGACAATTCTGATTACACATTCACACATGTTGCTGTCACCTTTCCGCCTTTTCAGATTATAGTGCAATAGAGAGGCATGAAAATCAAAGCCCATGGTAATGGTGAGTGCAACTAGCAAGTTCCGCCCAAGTTAGGAAAAAAATCCAACCAAGGCCAAGGATGAAATTCCTCTGTTCCAATTCACAAATCCTGGGCAGTATTGCAGAACCATGTGGTGCTCATGCTTCATGGTCCCTTTCTCGGCCTGCCTTGTTTACTCCAGAGGAAAGGTAACACCAGTATGTTTGGAACAAAGCAAGCTGTAGAAGATGCCATATCAGAAGTGCAGTGCTATTTTTGTCTGCCTGTCGGAGCTTTCCTCCTAAACCAGCTGCCAGCCAAAGCTAAGAACCTGGTCCGTTCTGCCATAAACATGAAGTTTTCAGGTTGCACTTTCTCTTCCTAGAATGAGGCTAGTATTCTCCCCATTGCGCTCCTCTGTCAAAGATGTTAGCACAATATGGAATGGCGGGGTTGGTATACGCCACCCAACATTCAGCATTACCAGGAGACAGATAGTACTGACTAATGATATATGGCAGTAATGATATATGGCAGCCCAATCATACCCCACCAAGACCTGACACATTTACACACACTGCCTACACTATTCTTCCACATATTATTTTTATATCCAACAAATTTAACACACCTTGTGGAGGCTACAGTGCTAAAATGGTCAAGTGTTTTGAACTCTGCTGAGGCAGATTTTTATTATAAGACCAAACTGACCTTCCAGATCAACCCAGCCTGAAAGCAGGAACCAGGAAATGTTATAGGAAGTAAAGATAACCCGCATACCCTCACTCATCAAGTGCCAAATGGTGCATAACAATACTGGACTAGCACCACATGCCAGAGAAATGTAGACAGGTCCTGTGCCAACTGACCTGACATGCTCTGCTTGTCTTCAAATGTATTCATATTATGCAAAATTTAAAAAACGTAAAGGACAGTCTTCCACGCCTTTAGGCCTATTGGGAATATAGAGCTAGACCTATATTTTATAGACCAATCGGCTCTTATTGGTAATGTGGTCAACATCATGCCGGCCGCCGTTACTTCCCAGGACTGCACCTGGTATCCACTCAAATCTGTGTCGACCTAAGAGTCAAGGTCATTTGTGAAAGAAGAAAAAAAATCAGACTGTCAGGAAGAGAACCCACGACTTTCTGATCTGTAGGCAAGCATCTAGCTGCAAATGCCACAGCGACTCTCATTAATAGTGGCATAGTGGTTAGGTGCTCGCCTGCTATCATGAAGGTCTTGGGTTCAAATCTGCATCGAGGTTCATTTATTTTTTATACTGAGCTTCTTTTTCCAAGGCTGACCTAGCTAAAAATAGGTACCAAGTAACATCCTGTAAAGTAAAGGTGGCCAGCATTATGTTGATCCCATCACCCTTTGAGTGCTGATTCCTCTTCTTCTTCTTCTGCCTTTTGTCCTCCAATAAAGCACAGGCCCTCAACCAACTCAAGCCAAGTCACCCCACCCTTTGCTTTTGCATGTAGCTCATCTCATGTCCTCCCTATCTTTTTAACTTTTTTTTTATAAGGAGTATAAAATTATAGGGAAGAGAAAAAGTTGGTAAGAAACAACAATTAGTTTATGTTAGCTTTACAAAATCGATCACAATAAACAAACAAAGGACGTTGCGGCAATTAGCCTTCATCAGCACATAAAGGACAACACAGTACACATACACAAATAGGCTCTAACTATGAAGTGACTACATAGGACTCTAATGTATAGAATAAACGATACTCATCTAGTGTCCCTGGCGAAAAAACTTCGTTCAATGGAATGACGGTCAGCCTATATACTTAATTTTCTAGCTTTCTTATTCATGTATTTTTGGTCTGCTTTTATTTATATTACTTTTTAGGTTCCAGTACAAAGACATTTTAGTTATACTGTGATGCCAATATCTCTTCTCCAAATCTTGATTCGCTGGAAATTGTTGAGTTTTCTCTGAAAGCTCAATTTTAGTGACTCTATCATACAATTTTTAATTCATTCTATTCTGTGCAGGCACCAGTTAATGAATGTTTGTAGTTTATTAGCAACCGTTTAGTTGTTTTCCATATCTCCAGACTTTTAGACATAATTGTTTAGACCAAGCATGTTCAATTTATCTTGCATCATGGTTTCGTGAGTGAGATAGAAGTCCAATAAAGTCCAAGTAAACTTTTTTAAAGGGTCCACGTACTCATAGACTGACATAATATTAACCTTTCTGAACACTTATGTGTGGTAGAGAAGACAAAGTTCTGTTAATTCTTATGACTGAAATAGAGGATTCATGGCGGAATTCACCAGATGTCAAACATTCACTGCCTGATGTGGATGGAGGCCTCAACTCAACTGAACAGGACATCATGGAAAGATAAATGGAGTAGGCCAGAACCTGCAGTATAACATGGTGTGCCAGTTCCCTAAGTTCAAAAGACCACAGTTTGGCAGTGATAATTATGGCTGTTGATTGGGACAATCCATGGATAGAATATTCTTTGCTCCCTTAGCTGGTTTGATTGATCTTGCTAAGTTCTTTTCTTCATTTTCCTACACGTGTTGCACTGATTACATGATGTTTTGTTATTTCATATTCAATGGTTAGTGTCCATCCTTCAGTGTTCTTGAGTTGTCTGGAGTATCTGTTGTATTGTTATACTTCATGTTACACTGTGTTAGTTTGACTAGCATAGGACTGCTATCTAGTCTGGCTGCTTTAAAGGTAGTGAGGAAGTCAGGCCAAGTTGCACCGAGGAATGTTTATGTAGTCTGTACTGCCTTACTATGAGTCACCGCACCCCTAAAGTAGGTGGATGTTAACTAGAGCAGCAGGATTCCGCCCATTGCGAGCCATCATCTCAACACTAAAACTACTTCAAAGTGCCTTTTGGTTTATTAGGGGAAACCCTAACAAAGGTGGTGACCACAGCATTATGTGACAGAGCTGGATGAGCTCAAGTTCATCTGCAGACGCCTAATGTCACCATCTTTAAAAAAATAACCAAAAAGTCATATCAAAACTGGACAGGCTACTTACATAAAATGTGACTGTGCACCAGCGGTGTTTTCTTTCGTCCAGTTTAAAGTCTTCCACAAATGCGTGAGATAAAGCCTAGCAAGGAAACATGGAACTATAATTATCAACCAATGAAACAATAGCAATTTAAACTGTGTGATCACATATAAATCATTAGGTTAGCCAACAAACTTGTAGCACATTACATGACATATATAAGAAAAACAGAACCGAATAAGCAGGTGAAATGTGCATGTGTAATAACTTATTTGACATTCTATCACTCCACATCTCTACTTCGGTATACAGCAAGGGACAGCCTTTATACTGAACATTTAAAAAGATTTTGGAGAAGAAAGAAAACAATCACATATACTTATTTTTCCATGTATAAGACAATATGTTTTACCAAATTCTTCGAGTTCAAAATTGGGGATCGTCGTATACACAGAATGTGTTTAAAATATTTTATTTCTTATTCTGGGCTTTAAAAAAAAAAGTCATGTTAGGCATGGGAGTGCCTTATACATGACAAAATACAATAAATGACAATATAAAACTAAGATGTCCTTACCTCAGTGATAAGATCTTTGTCTTCTTTATTCATTTCATGGTTTGGAGGTGCTTCATAGCTGCTGTCTTTTTCATCATCATCCTCATTATTATTATCACTGTCATTTTCAAGTTTAAATTTATCATTTCCATCTGCATTTTCTTCAGCATCATCATCACCTATGAAGGAAATAAAAAATACAAGATTTGATTAAACTGCCTTCAACACACATATTATCTATGCTGTTTGCAAACAACCTGCAAGTAATTCTGGCTTTAACTGAAACTAAAAAAATTGCGACAGTGCAAATGACTGCCATAAATAATAAAGCTGTTGGTCTCCCACAGAACAAGGCGTTGGGAGACTAGACATACTTTGACTAGCTTCCTTCCTGAGTTTCTTTTGTTCAGTTTGCAGCCTGGCTCCCCAAGGGATCAGATAATGACAGTTCTTAGTCTTACAGTATTTGTCATGTGGCACTGGTAGTCATGTCTATCTACAACCTTCTGTCTCATGTACTTTCAATCAATTCTGACACAGATGATCTTCCACGTCATGATGCCAAACTGTCCATCATCTTCTCTCTTTGCCTTGATTTTCCTCCAACTTTCCCACTGTCATGATGTACTCCAATTGTTTCCTTCTCTTGACATATCCAAAGAAAGTAGATTGTCTCTTTCTGATGTTGGCAATCAGTTCTCTTTGTGAGTCAGTTTCTTTCAAGACATCTTCAGTACTGTTTTCAACTGTTCAGAGTATTCTCATCATTCATCTATAAAACCACATCTCTGCAGCTTCCAAACAATTTTTCTCTGATCGACCAACTGTCCATGATTTTCTTCCGTATATATCAGGAAATGATTTATTTAGCTTTTAGAATTCTTTTTTCTTGTTTGGATTGAAGTTAAAGCACAATAATAACATATTTGTGGAATGCTCTCTCACTATATCCATACTGGTCTCTCTCTCTCTCGCTCCCTCTCCAGTCTACATATATTCATCTATTTATCAACCTTATTCTTTATGTCTATATTTGTGTTTGTGTGTGCATGTTTGTGTGTGTGTGTGCGTGCGTGCGTGTGTGTGTGCGCGTGTGTGTGTGTGGGTGTGGGCGGGCGCGCACACACACATATATAAATAACACACCAACAAATGCCTACTATTCTACCTATCTTTCCATTCTTCATGTCTCCTCTCATTTTTTTTACTACTCCTTTTCCCCTATTTTTCATTCTTTCTCTCCCTCTCCAGTCTCTTTCTCACTTTCTCTATTTATTTTCCTTTTCTTTCTCTCAGCTCACTCTCTTTTTCTCTTTCTCTGTTTGTTTCTTCATTCTCTCCCTTTTTTCTTTTTTTTCATTTCTCGTGTTCTTTCTCTATCTTCCCTCCCCCACTTTTTTTTTCAGTATCTAACATTTCAGAAACTAACCTTCAGGTACGACTGCTTTCCTCTCCTCCTCTTCTCCCTCGTATTCCTGTGTGTCCAGCTGTTGCTGTTGCTCTTTTACAGCAGCAGCATCACCATCATTAGGTTCTGTGTCCACGTCTTCATCTTTAGCATCAGCAAGCTTGGGCTCATCACTGTCCTCCTTCTCTGTGTTAGCAGAACGCTTCAACCTTCCGCTGGATAATAAACTGGGGACAAAAAAGGCCAAGAAGAAACATAAGAAAGTATGTCATTGTAAGTGACTACAAACACTGTGTCTAACAATTTGTTAGACATTCCTTAAACTGTAGATTAACTTTCATCATTATCATAATGTAGCAGGTTCTTTACAGACCGTCGCTCCCATTACAGCAGGCCTGAAAGAAACTAGTCCCTCAGCAGCTCTCCCACCTCATGAACTTTCTTGGCCAAGGTGTCTTTTATGTCCTGTGCCCATCCTTGGGCAGGTTGGTCCCTGGCCTACTGTTTTTCTCCATCCACTGTGCATTTGATATGGTCAAAACATTTCAATTCATTGAAGTTTAGATCCTTTAGGATGCCAGTATTACTTTTTCCTCTACAGCATACCAGCTCAAGAGTCCCTATTTTCTTCCTTAATGACTGCAAGATAACCCATGACTCACATCCAAATGCTGCTTACAGGAAGATGCACGTCCTCAACATTTTTACTCTGATTTGCTTGCTAATGCTCAGCCAAAGATTTGTAATGCTGAGATAACTTTCAATTTATTTAATTACCTATATTCCTTAAAACATAGAACACTTTCAGGTTATTTAATTACCACAGAACAAATAAGTAATATAAGCACTTGTAAACTGAGCTCAAGTTTTACTTCTTTTTGACAAATTTTCTGAAAGTTACAAATCTGGAAATAGTAAATGATCACCTAACCCGCTGAAATCAAGTGAGAAATGATAAGTCTAACAGGCTGTGAAAACAACTTTTTGCGATAAATACCAAAAAAAAAAAAAAAAAAAGATAAAATGGTTTATGTATCTTGCTAGGATACAGTAACATCAGTTACCAACACAAGAGATAGATCTTTAAGATCTTAAATAAAGATCAAAGAATAATATGAATTATATTAGAGATGCATCATTTTCCACCAGCATAGCGTTTATATCAGGCCAGCATGTACTGGTGCATTACCTGCCAAGTAGTCCACTCATTCATACCCTTTACTCCTGCATGCCAGGTGGGGAAGATGAGGATGAGTAACAGATTGATTAGTGCAGCTGAGGCAGTGCCCACATCTCAGGGGACTGATTCGGTGGGAAGTGAGCAGAATGACACTCAAATCACAGGGGAAAAATATGTGGACTTTTAATCAGACAGCCACTGGAAACATCAGACCGAGATAGTGAGGAAGAGAATAGCACATGCAAGTAAGTCCTGACCGCAATGCAGTGATGTTGATTACTGAACCCAAGCCCCTGAGCAGTAGGAACTCTTACGTGGTTTTCTCCATGACAGCATTCTCCTTCTTGACAGCCATGTCAACCTGCAGCAAAAACCTCTTCACAATAAATGCCAAGATCATCTTTGGAGTCAGGTTTGTGAGATCAGCATACTCCCGGCGATGCAAAAACTGGAACTTCACCTCAAATACTCTGTAATTTTCCCTGCACAAATTTTAAAAAAAATGAAACCAATATAAAGATTTTTCTTTAAATACATTATTTAAAATTCTCTGAAGTTAAGTAAAAGACACTTTTCACATCAGTAACCGCATCGGGCAAATGGTGTAGACCAACAGGTACTGGAGTGAAATGAGGTTATCCTAGTTCCAACATCACGGCAAATTGGTCGCCCGTAGATGCTCTGTTCCTGTGACAATGAAAGCCACAGAGAATGCAAGCTGCTGCTGACAGAGACTGCAGTCTCTGCAAAGCTAAAAGCATTTTCACAAATTAAATGCATCAGGCCGCTGCCAGAAGTGTCAATTCCATCAGCACTCGGGTGATGTGGTCAACACTGGAGTAATTAGTGCCAACACAAACAGTACTCGGGTGATGTGGTCAACACTGGAGTAATTAGTGCCAACACAAACAGTACTCGGGTGATGTGGTCAACACTGGAGTAATTAGTGCCAACACAAACAGTACTCGGGTGATGTGGTCAACACTGGAGTAATTAGTGCCAACACAAACAGTACTCGGGTGATGTGGTCAACACTGAAGTAATTAGTGCCAACACAAACAGTACTCGGGTGATGTGGTCAACACTGGAGTAATTAGTGCCAACACAAACAGTACTCGGGTGATGTGGTCAACACTGGAGTAATTAGTGCCAACACAAACAGTACTCGGGTGATGTGGTCAACACTGGAGTAATTAGTGCCAACACAAACAGTACTCGGGTGATGTGGTCAACACTGGAGTAATTAGTGCCAACACAAACAGTACTCGGGTGATGTGGTCAACACTGGAGTAATTAGTGCCAACACAAACAGTACTCAGGTGATGTGGTCAACACTGGAGTAATTAGTGCCAACACAAACAGTACTCGGGTGATGTGGTCAACACTGGAGTAATTAGTGCCAACACAAACAGTACTCAGGTGATGTGGTCAACACTGAAGTAATTAGTGCCAACACAAATAGTACTCGGGTGATGTGGTCAACACTGGAGTAATTAGTGCCAACACAAACAGTACTCGAGTGATAGGGTCAACATCCAGGTGGCCACCTTTACCTCCCAGGATATTTCCTATACCAATGTGAGGCTGGCTTGATCTGAGAACTAAGGTCAATTATAAATAATCTGTCTGAGCATATATTTAAATCATCAAAATATTTCGAATTTTTAAAAACAACGTTTTTTCTCTGTCTCATTTCTCGGTGTGTGCTGTGATTTTTTTTTTTTAAATTCATTGTAGAAATACTGCACAGACAGCCAGAGATTTTGTAGACACACACAGCAGTTTTGTACAAGCTAAAGATTTTGCATTGACAGACCATGTACAAACATGGGCATGTAAACAGAGATTTTGCACAGACACAAATATGTAGACATGCAGAGATTCTTTACAAGACAGATCATGCTTAGACAGAGACAAGCTGTGCAGGCACAGACTGTGTGTGCATATGTGTGTGTGTGTGTGTGTGTGCATGACGTTTGTAAATTTAACACACATACATATTCACATAAGCTCTTCAAATAAAAACCTTAGAAGTGTTATCAAAATTACAGTAGCCATGCCCCTGTCTTGTAACATGTGAATATTATTGTTATGGATGTCAAGAATGTTAAGCGCATGACACCACAAAATAATGATTTTTGGGGGGAGGGGAGGGGGGAAGGGGGGGGGGGTGCATGTTAAAGGTTGGATGGCCATCTTTCTGTTTATAACTTCATCAAGTATGTCTGCAACATGAAGCCATTTACTTAACACTTTTGACACTCTTAACAATAACACTGCATGCGCACAAAGTGAGTGGTGGTGGTGAGGAAAAGAGCAGATAGATAAGCCCAGGTAAAGATGCAGACAAACTCAGTACAGAAATACCATAAGCCTGTAAATAACAAGATGTGTTGAACAGGTGGTATAATATTCTGAAAACTGCCTAGCACTCAATTTATGAAGCTAAGTCAACCCTGTGTGGGTTCTGGGGCACTACTCTAGGGGAAACAAAAGACAGACCCGCTGGCTGGAACAAGCATGTCGTAAGAGTCGAAATATTAGAAGTTCTTCCTTTGAAGTCGGAGTGCATCTGTCTGAGAGGCGAGGAACCATGAGTCTGCAAACAAATAAGCCAGATCTGTAAAACTCAAGTTCTAGAACAAGACAAAAGTCCAGAAGTTGGCAAACACCCATAACTTTCCACTGAGGTTTACAGCCTGTGAATGCTAAGAAAAACCCTTGGATGTTGGCAAACACCCAGAACTTTCCACTGAGGTTTACAGCCTGTGAATGCTAAGAAAAACCCTTGGATGTTGGCAAACACCCAGAACTTTCCACTGAGGTTTACAGCCTGTGAATGCTAAGAAAAACCCTTGGATGTTGGCAAACACCCAGAACTTTGCACTGAGGTTTACAGCCTGTGAATGCTAAGAAAAACCCTTGGATGTTGGTAAAAACAATTCTGTCACTGACTACTGAACCTGGACAAGTCTTAGCAGGCAAGTGCACAGACAATTACACTACAACTGTTCAATGTCAGTCAAACAGCAAATGAAAAATATAACTGTTAAGCCCATTAAGGCCAAACAAAATACTAACTTAAAGGCAATGTAAAGTACCCTATTTTTAGATGACTGACAGTAGGAAAGTAAAATAGCTTGGATATAACTTACGAATTGAAACGTTTTGTGGAAATCTTGACTTTCACATGTTGCAAAACCTGTACAAAACAATAGATTATATTTGCTTCATGCTCACAATAAAAATTTTAAAAAGTCATAACAACTAAGGTATGAAATACAGTTCATTCATTCATCATTCCCTGACAATTCCTGAAAAAATTCAGGAAATTGTCTCCTAGAAATAATTTTTTTTTAGGCCGGGTGCCAAAATATCATACTTGTAGGTGTAAAACACATACTTAAAAAAATCTTTCTAAAAATATGCCTTCAGATTAGGCTGTGTCTCATAATATGCTGAAGAACACAGCAACTGTTTAGCGGAATGTTATTTTTGACCTGCACTGACGAAAAACACAAAACTCTAAATGTCTCAGCAGGATGGTTTTGTGCAAAATGAACAAAGGGATGCAAATTTATAGGCTTCTGATGCCAGTGAATAATTTATCACTTTGGTGATATTTGTCTTTAAATATGAGTTTTTTTTTTTTTTTTAACAATTATTTTCAATTTTTTATGTGTGCTCATATAAAGGGGACTTCTTATGCCCGAACAAATACGGCAGTCGAAAAATAATAACATTTCATTTACACTGCTTTCTTCCCTAAACTATGTACCAGTTAATACCCTTGAATTTATTTATTATGCAAGTTTTAAATTCCTTAATTTAACATTTGAGTTAACAAGTCCAGGCATCACTGACATAAGTCTCATCATTCAGTTGGGCTGTGTCTTAGCTGTAGCCCAAGACCACTGTTTGAAAGTGTTTAGAATTTCATAACATCCATTTTACTTATTGTTTTTTTTTTCCCAAGTGTTTAATATCAAATTTACTATTAATCAGAACATCAAAAGAACTGTGATAACCATTGACATAGTGAACAACAATAAAATGACACCTCAGATTTTTAATAAATCCTGAACTAAACCATGCATTTTACCTTTCTCTGTCACATATAATACACCATCATGATCAGCAATTGTCTGTGTGTACCAAACAATGAGCGCTGTGTAATCAGCTTTTGTCTGTGTGTATCAAACAATGAGCGCTGTGTAATCAGCTTTTGTCTGAGTGTATCAAACAATGTAAGCTGTGTAATCAGCTATTGTCTGTGTGTATCAAACAATGTAAGCTGTGTAATCAGCTTTTGTCTGAGTGTATCAAACAATGTAAGCTGTGTAATCAGCTATTGTCTGTGTGTATCAAACAATGTAAGCTGTGTAATCAGCTATTGTCTGTGTGTATCAAACAATGCAAGCTGTGTTATCAGCTTTTGTCTGTGTGTATCAAACAATGCAAGCTGTGTAATCAGCTTTTGTCTGTGTGTATCAAACAATGCAAGCTGTGTTATCAGCTTTTGTCTGTGTGTATCAAACAATGTAAGCTGTGTAATCAGCTATTGTCTGAGTGTATCAAACAATGTAAGCTGTGTAATCAGCTATTGTCTGTGTGTATCAAACAATGTAAGCTGTGTAATGAGCTATTGTCTATGTGTATCAAACAATGCAAGCTGTGTTATCAGCTTTTGTCTGTGTGTATCAAACAATGTAAGCTGTGTAATCAGCTATTGTCTGTGTGTATCAAACAATGCAAGCTGTGTAATCAGCTATTGTCTATGTGTATCATCAATACAAGCTGTGTAATCAGCTTTTGTTTGTGTGTATCAAACAATGCAAGCTGTGTAATCAGCTATTGTCTGTGTGTATCAAATAAAGCATGGCACTGCATCCTTCATTTTTGATCTTCTTCTTCAACACATAAGGTTCACTGCTGTTTGTCTTTCTTTCCATTACATACGACTTATTATTCTGTCTATACACATCTCCAGAGTCTCTATAGTCATCTTGCAGCAGGTCCTCTTCAGAACGTTGCACTAATTACAGTCCACCTAAAAAAACGTGATCTCTCGCGAGATCTCCTGCCTTGTGTACCCTCCTACCCAAGGTGTCATATCCTGTATCAATCTTCCTGCCGGTCAGTTGCTGCCTCTCTTTCCCAGCCTAAGCTTTCTGTTATTATTCTTTACATTCAGCCCTGGTGTTTGACATGGCTACAATTACAATCATTCAGTTTCCAAGACAAGATGCTGTTTACTAGCCAATCTTCCTTGATATTCAGATCTATTAGGATGTCAATATACACACACACGTACATGTGTCTAAATAAGAAAGACTACCAAACCTGAGACTACCAGACCTTCAAAGTCTCAATTACATACATGTTTTTTTTTGTCTAAACAGAGAAGCTACCACTGTTTATTTTTCATTTCAAGATCATCTTCATCACCATAAGTGCTTCAATCTCCTCCTGAGTATGTCTCTAAGTGTTTTTTTAGGCTTAATAACTCTTATTCTGTTCTGGTTGATGTAATGACAGCTGATTCTCGTATGGTTCTCCTGTCTCGCTGCTCCAACTGGTATACAAATGGTATGCAGTCTATTTAGTGAAAAATTGTTTTCCACAAAGCTGAAAACCCTACAGAATTTAGTCTCTTGTATGGCACTGATGATGTCTCTTCAGTCCATAGATGGCCCATTCCTGATAGTTGCACTGCCAGCCTGGGCATCTGCTCTCTCACTGCTTTTCACACTAGCCTTTTCTGTGAGAAAAATGAAGGTGATTTTACTAAACTGCATGCTGTATTAGATAGAGCCACTGTTTTTGTATTTGCCCCCGCCTTGATCTTATGTAGCACGCTCACTGAGTTGTTGAGAAAGTATGCATTGGTGAATTCCTGAGTTTTCAGCCATTCTAGTGACTAGCAGAGAAACTACCAGACTTGTTATAGTGAGATTCTATTTAGGTGATACTTTCAATTACACTCAAGTACACGCATGTACATTTGTCTAAATGAGAAAGACTATCAAACCTAATCTAGTGTGATTCTATTCAATTGATATTTTAAAGTCTAAATTACCCTCATGTACATTTGTCTAGACAAGAAAGTCTATCAAACCTGATCTAGTGTGATTCTATTCAAATGCCTCCTCAGATTCTCTGCCTGGGGTCTGGCTTGTGGCACTGGCAGTATGGGGATGTCCATGGACGGAGTCTTGATGTTTGTGCTGGCAGTCATCAGGATCTCTCTGAGTCGAGGGATACCCAGAGTGACGTTCATCTCACCACGACCAGCAAAGTGGAAGGTGTTCAGTGTCATCTGAGTGGAGGGCTCACCCACAGACTGCATGGAAACACACACAAATATAACATGCTGCAATATTTGCAACAACAAAAAGGACAAATAAAATTATGGTTTGCATGCACTATGGGGTGACCTGCGGTGTGAAGTTTTATTACCTGATTACTTCACTGGAGTACCTTTAGGTCAACTTGATATGCCCGATGCAATCACCGATGTGAAAAGTCTTTTAATTACTTCAAAGAGCTCTAAATAATGTATTTAAACACAAATCTACACATTGGTTTCCTTTTTTTTTAAATGTTTTTTGTTTGTTTTGTTTTTGTTCATACAGGGCAAATCTAAGGTGAAGTTCCAGCTTTTGCATCACCAGGAGTATGCTGCCTAGGATATTACCTCATGTCCATTTTACACCGGGTCAAACTGAGAGCCAAGATTATTCTATTAAACTATGCTCCATGTGGATTTGAACCTATGACCTTCCAGCTGGCCATCAAGAGCTTTGCTACTCTGCTACCACAGTTTCCCTAGGTTGTAGAAGTAGCCAGATAGAAATACCAAGAACTCAGTGTTAGGTAGCAATCACACACAGCAATTGTATGGACAAGACAATAATCTAACAAACATTTTCAAAGAGTTAATAGATTGGCTTGCAGGTCTCTGTATTTGTGTGTGTGTGTGTGTGTGTGTGTGTGTGTTTGTTTTTCTCTCACTCTCTCTCTCTCTCTCTAAATTTTCAGTCTGCAATTATTTATGTGTTTGTCTGCAAGGCTATGGTTGAACATCTGTTTTGCAAACTCTGCAAACCCACAAGTATGCAGGCATAATGGGACAAACTTCTTTCTATGTTAACTGTGATGACCCTGCTTTGCATGGTCTCCACGAGTACATTGTGGCAAGCAGGAAGTCCGTGCTACAGGTGACGGCACGAGATACTTGTGGCCGGTGGAGTAAGCGAGGCGAAGCCCGAGCTAGCCTCGTGGTCAGTCGATCATCAGAAGTCAGAGAAGACGGTTGTAGTATTTGAAGATGTCGTCTTTATGTCGGGCAAATGGTTAATGTTCGAATGTGTCGCGAGTTAAATAAATGTGAAATAAATGGACCAGAATAAACTGACAGAATGTATCAAGAAGCTGAGTGGAGTTTGTGTTGTCAACCCTAGACGTTAAAGTCGGTGTAAACCAAGGTTCTTTCCAAGCCAAACCAAGGTTCATTTCAAGTTGAATAAGAATCATTTCAAGATAGTTGAAAGCGTAACTTCAAGTATACGTTCTGGTTTTTTTCAAGTGAAGCATCGACTCATTCCAAGTAGACCAGAATTATTACATTAACTGTTCAGTCTGTTGTGTCCTGTTCTGTTACAGAAAATGATTCTTTTTTGCTGGATTAACAGAAACTGCTACATTGCTTGGATTTCTTATAAACCTAATAAGAGTCTTCTTTTTTTATGGATGGTGACTGTTGTTCTCTCTGGTCTGCATGTGCTTCTGTTTAAGCAAAAATACCTGCTATTTTCATTTCTGGATATCTCAGTGTGATGGCATCGAATGTAAAATTACCCTTTTATTAGTGTTCCTCTTACTCTTTCTTTAGCTCTTAAGGTATTTGTATTTATATATTTCATCAACCCTAATTATAAGAAATTACATCAAGGTTTCTAAAAAAAAAAACAATGTAATACAATTCATTGGTTAAAAAAAGTAGTCTAAAAATATATTTCAAAGAAAATGTGCACACAAGTGTGTGTTTACAATGCAAGGGCTGTTTTCCGCATACTTGTTAAGGGCTAGCTCCATAATTGAAAAGACCCAATTGAATTTGAAGATTGATGTTGACAAAAAAAAAAAAAAAACCAGCTGCCCTTACTTCTCAAAACATTTCCTAACCTATTTTTTTTGGGGGGGGGGGGGGGGGGGGGGGTATACAGACAGTACCGAATTAAGTTTGGATGTAAAAAGACTTTATTCTGAGCCTAAACCAAGGAAAAGAGACAGGCAGAAAGTGCCGAAAAATAGCAGAGGACTTGTAACGCCCTAACTGTATTTACTATTTTAAAAGGGGGGGGGGGGGGGGGTTGTGTTTGAGGATATGAGGGTCTTTGAGCATATGGATGTAAGTTCACATAGCTAGTGAAGTGGCTATGGACTGTGCAGGGGTTATGATTGTATTCTGCTCTTGATAAAAAATAATCCATCATATTAATGAGGATTTCAACTGGGCCTCTTGAATGAGAGTTCAGCATTATCAACTGCTAAGTGAGCAGTTCCTTTCTATTTTCTATACAACATTTTTAATGTTAAAAGGACCAAGTGTGTGAAAAGCAACAGTGTCGCAAGTCAAATTTAAATTTACATCAGGTCAGCTGACTCCTAAGTCTCAAGGGCCAAGACCAGTGTTATATGAATTCATCTCCCTATTGTTTTATAAAATGCAAATGGGAATGAGATATGTAATCACATATGTATCTCTGGCTGACTCACCTGGGCACAAATAAGACCTACAGCTTCCCCTGGGTGTGCTAAGGACTTAACCACCTTCCGATTGACAGCTGCCTTAAACGCTTCTGGGTTCAGGTTTTCAGACATCTGAGAAACTACCTGAAAATCATCACATAGATTTTTTTAAACAATTGTACTACAATGTGGTTTTTTCACATGCCTTGAATTTGAAGTTTTTCGATTGACCACATTGTTTATACTAAATATCTAAACATGACAGGCAGTGGCATTTTGGCTTCGAAGGAATGATTGCCTTTGAATGCAGTGTTTTATTCTCAAGCCAGAGCTGAGCTCCTTCAGTCTTCAGTGTGTATCCATGGGTAAAAGCATTCTTAAGTGACTGTGTGTTTTAGTCTTCTCTTTCTAAACTGCATGCAGTTAAATCCCAGCATGGGCCCCAGGTTTCTCCTCTCTGCTAATCTCTCAACAGAATGTTTAGGAGCGCTGTGTAACTTTATTCAAAACTATGTCTTGTGTTATAACAGCTCTGAAATGACATGAAGAAGGAAAAGAAGAGTTGGCACTTAGATAGATGTAAGAAGAGATGAAATAAAGACTCTGATCCTAATTTTCAATCTTCAGGGAATGTTGCATGAGCTTTCCCATTTTTCAGAAAAGTAAAAATTTCAGAACAGTAATTAATTAAAAGAGCAGTTGACCATCTATTACTGAAATCGATACAGTTATAAGACACTATCTTTTAATTTTTATTCCTCTTCTTTTTTCACATTCACTGGCCATAAACTCCAGCGAAAGGTTCTGGTTGTTCATCCAGTTCTAGACCAGCATTGTTCTAGAACTTGTGTTTTACAGATCTGGCTTATCTGTACACAGACTGGTGGTTCCTCACCTCTCAGACAGATAAGACTCCCGACTGATGGGAACACCCCTAATTAGTCGACACAGTGGCAATTATTTTTAATCAATCATTTTAAGCAATCATTTGCACTTAACTTTCCGCCTAACGAGGTTCACAAACAATTACTATAAGTATTAACTTCATGCTGTTGGGCCACTGCAAAATCAAAATATACATTATTTATTGAATCTATTTTCTGTTACTTCTTCTGCCTTCCAATATAACTGGGGCCCTCAATCAAGGCTCTGAGCTCCTATTTAATATCAACTTCTGCACAGCTCCCTCCATGTCTTCCCAGCATTATTCACCCGTTTGTAATTCTTGTTTCCACATATCTGTACAGTTTTGTTTATTTCTTATGTGATGTGGGTTCCCGATAACTGACTTTCTATTTACAGATTTAACAAACTTGCTTAATGTGCAGTCCATCTAGCCCCCCCCCCCCCCCCCCTCCCCAACCACACTAACAACTCTGGTTCATTTAATTTAATGAATACTGGACATTTATTAGTAAACTGTCTTAATCATTCTTCCCAGGTACTATATGTTTTGTTTTAGTATCCAGAAGCCATGAGTTGTTAACCCTTAGGCTCGGTATTATGGATATTGCAACCTTTCGGCCTTCATTCCATTTTAAATACCGTAAATCTGGGAGAAATGTGGCTTTTCTGCCCACCCCCGGGAGTGAACCCGGACCACAAGGAGTTCGTCACCCGCTCACCCAAAATCCGGTTTAGCCAACTTCGCTAGAGAGACGGGCGCCCCAGGTACTATATAAGGTGTAACATACAGATAGCTTACAAATAAATTGTTCCTCTGATGCAATCCATATTATCAGCGAGAAACATAATGACAGTTAATAGATAAGTTCCATAAAAACAAAAACAAAAATTACTCCATTGGATTACATGTACATATAAAGGCACTGAACATGCTGATGACCAAAGACAAATCATCATATGAAAACTGTACAGTTTTCAACCGATACTTGGTGATTACCTTGGAGAATCCCTTCTTGCAGTAAACATTAAGCAAGTGCCGGAAGTGTTCAGACATCACTTCAGGCTGGGAGTGGGGCAGATACTTGGACATGACAGGCTCTGGACACACCATGCCTTTTTTCATTCTGTAACAAAATATCATCATTAGTGTCCTATTGTGCCACTGTGAGGGCTCACAGTCTATTTCTATCCTGTGCAACTGCTTGAATATCACGGATGGAATCCAGTCCAGCAACTTTGGCTTCTCTCAACGTTCTAATCAGGGTTTCTCTTAGATGTCCTTGTTTCTTCAATCTACCTACGTCTCATTTCAGTGTCTGTTGATTTTATTTGTCTCTTCCCACAATGTATTCAAAATAACACCATCCTCTCTGTTTTTAACTGTTGATACTAGAGTTTGTCCGGACATTTCTCTTTTTTCTTCAATTCTCTTGAATTCTTCCAACTTTATTTTCATCATTTTCCTAAGGCATTTGTGTTCAGACATACTTAACTTTTGTTCCATGTCCCTGATGGTTCTCCAACTTTTACTGGCATGTGTTAACTGAAATAACATTAAAATTAAAAATAAACATAATAACAGCCACAATTTATTCTCAGTATTCTATTACTTGTGTAGAAAAACTGGCCAGGCGCTCTAAGGGCAACAACCCAAAATTGTTGTATGGGCCCTTTGAAACTTGAACAGTGAGCAGGCACAGTCAAAGAAGAATGTTGCTGCAAAGAGTGACCAGGGGATCTCTTTATCCTTTTCTATGTAAACTTTATTTATAAAAATACTTGTCTTTATCACCTTTCCATACACTTTACAGAACATACTTCTCTTTATCCTTTTCCATGTTCACTTTATAGAACATTCTTTTCATTATCCTCTTACCTGTACACTTTATAGAACATACTTCTCTTTACCCTCATCCCTGTACACTTTACAGAACATACTTCTCTTTATCCTCTTTCCTATAGACTTTATAGAACATACTTCTCTTCATTCTCTTCCCTGTGCACATTATAGAACATACTTCTCTTTACCCTCTTCCCAGTGCACTTTATAGAACATACTCCTCTTTATTCTCTTCCCTGTACACTTATAGATCATACTTCTCTTAATCAACCTCTCTGTAACCTATAAAGTACTTCTTTTTATTTTCTTCCCTGTACACTTTATAGAACATACTTCTCTTTACCCTCATCCCTGTACACTTTACAGAACATACTTCTCTTTATCCTCTTTCCTATAGACTTTATAGAACATACTTCTCTTCATTCTCTTCCCTGTGCACATTATAGAACATACTTCTCTTTACCCTCTTCCCAGTGCACTTTATAGAACATACTCCTCTTTATTCTCTTCCCTGTACACTTATAGATCATACTTCTCTTTATCAACCTCTCTGTAACCTATAAAGTACTTCTTTTTATTTTCTTCCCTGTACACTTTACAGAACATACTTCTCTTTATCCTCTTCCCTGTACATTTTATAGAACTTACTTTTCTTTATTCTCATCAATGAGACTCTCCCATGCTTCACAGAATTTTCTTGCTGCACTTGATCTGCCAAAATACTTTCCCTCCTTCACAATTGTCTGTTCTTCAGAGTGGGACACTGATGGGGCTACCTCACTCTGACAGAATTTCAAAAAACTGCTGTCCCGATTTGTCCACTTTCCTAGTTCACTGTTCTGTGCACGCCATTTGCTGATCTGTTATAAAATATGCAAGCACCAAATTATAAAGAATTCAACCAAGTTCACAACCACTAGGCCTAAAAATCCATAAGGGAAAGACAAAAAAATGAGAATAAATCAGGCAAAACAGTAGTCTAATTTCTCTTTAAAATATCCCATTCCAAGATGTGTAGTTTTACACCTATCTGGGCAGTAATGTAGATATAAAGATGGGGGACTGATAGAGATATTCAAATATGAAAACAAAAGGCAAACAGAGCTTTCACAGCAAATTTTTTGTGTGGAGGTCAAAAGAAATTAAAACATTTAACTTCAAATTCTTATTCTAATCAGAACTGCTGTATGGAGTGGAAACAGAGACGAGCTTAAACAATTGTTAATAATTTACAAACATTCATTAACTGTTCCCTGCGCAGATTAGGGCAAATTAAATGATATGACAGAATCACTAATGTTGAGCTTCGGGAGAGAACTAAATAAGTAGACCAAGAGGTGAGAGGAAAAAATACTGGCGTTGGATAGGACACAGACTGAGAAAACCTGAGAATAATATAACTAGAATGTAATTACACTGGAACCCAGTGGCAAAAAGAAATAAACACAGACCAAAAAACACATGGTGAAGGGAGATAGAGAGTGAAGTTAAAAAAGATGGGGAGGATACGGGTGGAAGAAGAAGAGAAGACAACCAAGTCACACAATTTCAATTCTAACGTTATTTCAGTTCTAACAAATGCCAGTAAAAGTTCAAAAGTCACTGAAGACATGGAGCCAACGTCTAACAGATCCAAAAACAAATGTCTGAGAAAAGTGCTGCAAAAACAGATGAGTTCAAGAAAAGCAAAACAGATCTAGACCACTGTTTGTATAACCAGTTAGAAAAGAAACAATATGGCGATATACTCTGCACATCCAGAGATGAAGTGAGCAAAGAATCATATAAAAAGCACAGAAATAGGCTACAAATGGATTTAGGAAGCTAGGAAGCTTAAAAGAAATCTTTTTGAGGGACCAGACTTGCTGGACTAGATCCATTCATGACATCAAACTATTGTACTGGATAAAACAGATTAGGGGAACTGATTCTGGCCCCAAGCGACATATAAAAGCACAACAGGATAAAAGAAAGAAAAAAACTTTTTAAAATGCAAATTTGTTTACGTGTGATAAATTATCATGGCAACAATGTAAAACAGTTACATTCTGAATCATTTAAGCAAGCAGCTACAAACCTGTGATCAAAGTCTGATTAGATACACTAAAAAGCTGCCTGTATTTTTGTCACAAATTTAAAGTTATTGCCATTTTTATTTTAAAACTAATTTTTAATTTAACAAACAATGACTGGAATGCTCAAATTAAAATTAGGCTTGAAGAAAACTTCTGTCTGTCACATCAGTCATCATAAAAAGTAACAACAATAATATTGATTTTGTTGATAGTAAAGTACTACTGAGGTTGGCTGCAGAGAATAGGTTGCATCCGATGCTGTATTTAGGAATACTGTAGGGAATAGCCCACATTTCTTCTGTGGTGTGACTCTTGCACCACTGTCTAACAGCTGCAAGAGCAGTCTTTTCTGAACTGTCTGCCATGAAAACTGAACCTGGAACATCGAGAACTGTGAAATCTCGAAGCTATTCTCAGCTATTACATTATTCACAAATACATATTTACCTTCTTCCAGATATGTCTGACATCTTTGCTCTGCTTGACCGTCTGCCATGGGTTTTCTTTATTGCCACTGAGAACAGCAAGGAGGTTTTCCGTCAAAAATGGAAACTGAGACGGCATCAAGAATGGACAGCGAACAGGATCTAGACCATCCTCCCCATAGTAGAACTGGAAATACACATTTGAAGTAACATTAGAATTAGGAAGTTGTGAATAAGTTATCATCATGTGTTATGCCGATAAGCACAGCCTATGTTTTGCCATCTCAAAGGATCACCATAATAACTGATCAAGTCAGAGTTTGTCTTACCCATTCATAACACTAAGCCATCCAAGTATTTATCTCTTTGCCTTCATCTGGCTCTCTTTCCATCAATCTTGCCACTCGTTACCAAGTAGTTCTCAGGTCCATTCCATCTCATAATATGATTGAAAAACACAGTCTACATCTAGTTTCTCTAATATCATCATAATCATCATCAAGTGCCTTGCCAGCTGGCGTAGGCGTTCATGCATCTCCACAAATCTCGGTCTTTGGTGTTCTGGATCAATTCACTATCTGAAGCCATCCACCATCATTTCTCTTTGTCTGCCTCTTCTACCAGTGATCTCTCTGGTCATCAAGCTATTTTCCAGTGCTCCTTTTCTTATCACATGACCAAAGAACTTTGTTTGTCTTCCTCTCATTGTTTCTCTAATAAGTTTAGCATTTTCATCTATCTCAAGGAAAACTGCTTTTTGTTTTTCTTTCACTCCATGACATTCTGCAAATCTCCGCTGCCCTGTGTAGGTCAAGGACCGGATTCCATGTCCTGAGGCACATCAAAAAAATGGTGCTGGCCTTATATTTGTATAGACCAATTACCAGCTAAACAGCATGCCAGCCACCTTGATTTCCAAGGTCATTTCCAGTAAACTGTGTTGGAAATGCTAAATATAACACAAAATGTGACTATAAAGCTCAATGGAGGGAATGGAAAAGATGCACACACACACAACCAAACATTTTGACAAGTCTTTAACAACAGAGTACTAAATAGAGCATAAACTGTGACTAGAAAACTCAATGGACAAGACTAATTAAAAACCAAAGTCAGCATGTGTAATGGGGTAAATTCCCAGGGAAACCCCAGAGAGTTTCCCAATTGAGGGGACAAGATCAGAGGGCCAGGGAAATGAGAGACACAGGGGTAAACGTGTGTCCCAAAGATCCCACGTTCTGTGAAAAGAATTTATTCTGAATGACCACGTCTAGTGTCTGAGAACATTTGTGTTATGGTGATTCGGAAGCCAATACTCGAGCAAAAGGAATGTTCTGACTGGCAGGTAACTGCACCAACTACTAAACTGTCGTCCTGTCATGGTAGTCAGTCCTGAGCACGTGTCAAAGACTTGGGAGAACTGTTGACATCGACGGAATGACTTACTGTTGTGCCACAATAAACGATATCAACGTTATTATCGTGTTTTGAATGTACTATTATGTGTCTAGACTAACAGCTGGATTGAGGCACGTATAATGTCCATAAAGTACAATGAGCCAGACAGCAGCATTATCACAACATGAAACCAATAAGTACGTAATGTAATGAATTTTATTGGGCTTAGTTTAGGAAACCAGGGCCAATTTTTAAGATCTGCCTTAATGTGGAATTGAACCTAGAACAACAAGGCCAGCAGGCAAGTAACCTCCTCATGTCAGTTATGGTTGTCATTCACTTCTAAACTTTTAGTCTTTTTCCAGAACCTGAGGTTTGAATGCACAACTATTTTACAGATCTGACTTACTGGTGTGCAGACTGTTGGTTCTTTGCCACTTAGGCAGACACACTCAACTTAGAAGGAAACCCCTAATTAGTCGAATGTCACAACATACTGGTTACGGACACAGCAGGTCTAATGTTTCCCTTGAAAAAAAACAGCAAAGGAGTTCCCAGAAGTATCCACCTATCATGTGAACAATCTGCCACTCAGTTGTCCATCTGTCTTGTGGATACTCTACCCACAAATATCCACCTATCATGTGGATACTCCACCCCACTAGTAGTGCCTATCTTGTAGATACTCCACCCCAAAAGTGTCTCCTGTCCTGTGGATACTCCACGCCACAAGTGTCACCTGTCCTGTGGATACTCCACCCCATAGTTGTCACCTGTCCTGTGGATACTCCACGCCATAGTTGTCACCTGTCCTGTGGATACTCCACCCCATAGTTGTCACCTGTCCTGTGGATACTCCACGCCACAAGTGTCACCTGTCCTGTGGATACTCCACCCCATAGTTGTCACCTGTCCTGTGGATACTCCATGCCACAAGTGTCACCTGTCCTGTGGATACTCCACCCCATAGTTGTCACCTGTCCTGTGGATACTCCACCCCACAAGTGTCACCTGTCCTGTGGTACTCTACCCGACAGTAGTCTGCCAATCCTGTGGATACCCCACAGGTATTGCATATCTTGTAGATAATCCACCCCACAAGTGTCACCTGTCTTGTAGATACTCCACCCTACAAGTGTCACCTTTCTTATGATTACTCTACCTATTCTGTGGAGACTCCACCTATCCCATGCAGACTCTACCTAACCTCTGGATTCTCTACCCCACAAATGTCCACCTGTCATGTGAATGTTCTGCCCCCATGGGTGTCTACCTATCCTGTGGATGCTGTCCCCCAGAGCTGCCCCATGCAGGAGGTCTACATTTTAACTACTTACCTGTACAATTCCACCATCACTGTCCCTGACTGTCAAGTCATAGTTGACCATAATTCCTTCCAGATGTTTAACCAAACAACGCTGCAAGTAACCACTGCGACTTGTCTTAACAGCTGTATCTATGAGACCCTGAAAGTAAATAATACTAATGACACACCTCATTCTGAGAACTTTTTTTATCTCTAACACATACAGACTGCTATTGGTACTATCTGGAACTCTTCACTGCTGAAGAAGTGGACAGAGTGCTTATGGGAATGAATTGGAGTGCTGAAATATTGGTTCTTAACAGCTTGTTATGTCTCTAACAAATAGGTATCTATAATGGGTCTGTTCTGGCCTGAAGTTTCTGTCAATACCTGGCACTGAAGTTCATGAAGCCAACACCACTAGCTTCATACCACTTGTACAATCTGCCAGAATAATTTACATAAAATACCTTTTATGGTGTGAAGTGCTACATATGTGGTACTGACTTTTTTTTAAAAACACATTTCATGTGGTGCAAACTATTACAAATGTAATTTTCTCTTTTTTTTTTTTTTAACACATTCTTATACTGTCTTTCTTTACTACATGAATTCAAAAATTTCAGAGCGGTGCAGGACAAGAGAATCTCAAGCCTAAGGCAGAGCTATTAAACTAAGTTTACTTAGCGACCAAATATTTTTCAATAGGGACTGTCACAGGCCAGACGCCTGAACCAAGGCATAGAAAGATCATTAATTCAATACAACTGGCAATGATCCGCAGGCCACATGCTAGCCCATGGCCCGCCAGTTGAATAGCCTAGCCTTAGAGTTTGAGGCTGCATGGCCAGTGCAGTGATTGCAGACTGCATATTATGATTTTATTTTTCTCCCCAAGACTTATCACCTTCTGGAGGATTTGAACGTGGGTCTACACAATAACAGCCCCTCCCCCATTCAGCCAGCCTCATTTTGATAGATAGCCTAAGCAATGAAATATTCAATGCTTTATTTATAACTTCCAATTATCATGTTTGAGACGCACACAATTCCTACGTAGACTTTGGTCCTTATTATTACCACACACACAAAAAAAAGACCATCATAAAATGAACGGTGAAGTGTATTGTCTGTTACAATAAGTTAAACTGCATCATAAGGTCTCATAGACTGTAATGGTTAGGGCACAAAGAAACAATATCAGAAAAGACAGTGACAAAAACTGTCTACACAAAAAAGTAGACCATGTGGCATACAAACAAGACGATGGCGAGATAATATACAGGAAAACCACTGGCAAATCAGCATAGATCTCTTCACAAGCTGCTTTTACTTATTACAGCTAACTTGTGTGTCAAGCCCATCTATGTGAATTAGGGACCAGATATCAGCAGATCAGAAAATAGGGCAACTGGTCTTATTAAACATATTAACTGGTTTAAAACAGATAAATTGGCTAACGATGAAAAGATGTACTGGTTGAACACAAACAGTTTAAATAATTTAAACAAATATAGATTAACTGATTTAACATGAACAGATAAACTGGTTTAACACATTCAGATTGAATTGTTTAAAACATATACAAATTAACATAGATAAATTAACTGGCTTAAAAAAGATTTTAACTTTAAAGACATATATAAACCATTTAATTCAAAATAATTAACTGGTTTTAGACATGTAGATTAATTGTTTTAAAATTTACAGACTTAGCAGTTTAACACAAACAGAAAAAATAGTTTAAAATAAACAGATTAATTAGTTTAACATAAACAGATTAAATTTTTTTTTTTTTTAAACATAGATTAACAGGTTTAATGCATAGATGAACTGGTTTGTAACACGTAAATTTACCACCCATAATTATTTAACACACAGATTAACTTTTCTAACATACTGATAACTGTGCCAAATGAGGTATACAAATTAGTTAATTATTACCGCACTTACAAATCCTGTTTTAAACTATACATACCTCTCTGCCAGCCATGCAATGGAAGAAATACTCCTGAGGTCTGATTCCAGTCAAAAACCTGCCCGTCACAAAACCACCTGCCTTGGGAGAAACATCATAGGGGAGGAATGATGGCAGAGACTTTCCGCTCAACATCAGCGGTGGTCGACGCCCTTCCAATTCAATCTGCCCCAGCAGGCAAGATATCTGCATGCAGTTCACCTATGTAACAAGCAACCAGGTTATTTGAAACAACCACAAATTGTTTTAGATGACAAACTAATTTACCTATGTGGGTGCATTCTTCTTTTTAGCGTTCACCGGCTGTAAACTCCGGCAGAAAGTTGTGGTTGTTTGTCCACATCTGGATTTTTAACTTGTTCTATAACTTGGATTTTTGTGTGCACATCTGTTTTACAGATCAGATTAAGAAGCTTACAGATTAAGAAGCTTGTTCAAAACAAAAAACGTTTCAGCCGGAGCTTTTCTCAATATAAACCACAGCAGCAGCAAAGGAAAAGTACTCTTATGTGCATGCACACTGGTGGCTCTTCACCTATCCGGTAGATGCGCTCCAACTTCTGAGAAAAAATCCATAATTAGTCGACTTTTACAACATGCTTGATAAGAGAGTCGGCGCCTGTGCTTAGGCATTGCGAACGCGCTTCCTGATGCCAGTGTGCCGGGTTCGATCACAGCTACGAGCCTTGCGCCAGTTTCGACAGTGGTATCGAGAAGCCGCCGTCCAGAAAGCAATGGCAAACTACTAGAAGTAAATCTACCCAGAGAAACCACAACAGCAATGGCAAACTACTAGAAGTAAATCTGCCTAGAAAAACCACAACAGCAAAAAGAAATGCTGGGATTGGTTCTGCCGCATTCTGTAAAGAATAGGCAACTAACTTTTATATATATATAAGAGAGGTCGTAGGCCCATTTTTTAACCCCTACAAATCAGCTCCAGAACCCATACGGAAAGGTTAGGGTGTCTGATACAACTAAATAAAATGATTAAATCTAAAAATTAAAATTGAATGTCTGCTATCTCTACAACAGAGGTTGGCTGCAATGAATATTTGCATCCACGGCTGTCTTACACGATAATATCCCAATCTCTTTCATAGTTCCACTCTTGTATCACCGTCCAAAAGTGATGAGAATGATCTTTTGCAAAATCTAAAGAGCAACCTAATGTTAAACCAGTACTCTTGTATGGAGTGGAAATATGGAAAACTAAGGCAATTACTAAAAAAAAAAAAAAAAAAAAAAAAAAAACATTCATTAACCCTTTCGCTGCTACGTTCCCGGAAATAGCTGTCTGCCCTGTGCTAAGCAATGTGAAAAAAAAGTCTGCTGTGCGCAATACTTTTCTATCCTCCAAACGCAAAAGATGTCGGCGGTGAGGGCTATATTTTGTACACCTAAAAAATTTTACCCTGGGGAGTTGTGTGGTTGGTCCGAGTGGTGACAAATCAGAGGCACGATGGTGACCCACAAACTTGACTAACGGAGCTATCACCCTTCTGGGGGATGGGGGGGAAGGGGGGGGGGGGGATGGGAAGAACTGTTCCCAGTCCGTATCCCAAAATTTGATTGACGAACCTACCACGGCTGCCACTTTAATCATAGTTATTTGTAGTCACCATGTTATTACATACCAAAATAATAAAAATATTAATAATAATACATAAGTCGTCCGTTGCTGAAAAGTAGCAGGAACTGAAAGGAAAATTTACAATACAACAACTTTGGGGGTTGAACACACGACCCTCCGATTTTAAGGCGAACGTGATACCAACTACACTATGCTACCGCTTGACGCATTGTGCTGTGTGGATGATAATAATGAATGATGTGCGCAGACTATCAATAATGTGTCTAAGTTTGTAGTCTATCGCGGCCTGCATGAGCACTGGTGTCTGAGAAATGTTTGAGATTCTCAACAATAGTAAAAATATGTCCCTCGACATTATTTTACGGGAGTTTTTAGCAAACAGTCTTTGCTCAAGTACTCTATTTTGAGTTTCTTTGTTCTAAGCATTAGCAGACAGACAGCAAATTTTTAAAAAAAATGTGTCCGAATCTGTGTCTGTCCACCGGGAAAGACGAGAATTTTTAGTGACTGAACTGTTTGAATTTACAGTAGCAGAAATACAGATAGAGCTGGAGTCATCAAAATTATGCATTACTGGTTTCAAATCATCGGTTCATCAAGACAACTGAGCAATTTATTGCCGTTTTGATGGCGCTTCATTGTCGCTGCTCTCTGATTCCGACGATGAGGACGTCATACAGGCAAACAGCTTTTTTTGAACACGCCGGTTTCAGCCGTCGATATTGATGGGCTAGTCAAATCTTCTTGTTCACTGTCAGAAGTACACATTTCAAAGTCATCTTCGCTATCACTTCTTGACAGAAACTCCATCAATTCTTCAACAATTTTAACAAGTTTTCTTGCCATAGTGTAGAATAATCCAAAAGCACAAATAAAAATCAGGGCACAAAATACACAGATCACCGACCACGCTGTGATAGTAAACAAAGCAATGGGATAACGCAGAATGCAGTAAACACACCTTAAACACCTAAAAGCACGTGCCAGTGCTTTTAATCATATGTAAATGGGTCTGTTTAATCTAAATATAGCTAATGTATATTGCCCTTCAGCCAATAAAATACGAGGTAACAGAAATCTGTAAGAATAGTCCAAAAACGGCTTGGGACGTCCATAGCACTGGGGGTCAAGAAAAAAAATAACGTCCAAAGACTGGCGTAGCAGCGTACGGAAAATCGGGAAAAGACGACCATAGCAGCGAAAGGGTTAATGGTGCCTGATCAGAATAGGGGAAATTAAATTAAATGCTATGATAGAATCACTAAAGTAGAGCTTTGAGAGAGAACTAAATGAGTTCCAGGGGACCAAGAAGTGAAGAAAAGATGCTGGCGTTGGATATGACACATGTTGAAAAAACATGAGAACAATATAACTAGAACATCTTTGCACTAGAACCTACAGGGGCATAGAAATTAGAAAAGAAAAAAAAACAACAAATGGATACAAGAGCTAGAGAGTGAAGTTAAAAAAATATGGGGAGGATATGGGGAGAGCTGCATGCAACAGTAAAAAATAGAACAACTCGGCGTGAGCTGGTTGAGGGCCTATGTCCCACTGAGGGATAGAAGGTAGAAGAAAAAGAAGAAAGGACTACCCAAAAAGTTTGGTCATATTTTCTAAGAACAATTTTTTTTTAATATAACTGAAAAATATATTTAAGAAAATGAGCTGGTTGTCACCACGCACAAAAAATTAAAGATTTTTTCATCAAACCGATTTCAATAAGTGTTTCTAGTCTTTCCTAGTTTTTAATAATCCCATTTACCTGCTAGGCACCAGAGGTGTGTGTGTGTGTGTGTGTGTGTTTTTGTTTCGGAATCCTTTAGTCTTTCTGATATTGTAGACACTAAAGGAAATACTCATAACTTAGATCCTGGAGTTTTGAGAGAGAAAGAGAGAGGTAGAGAGAGAGAGAGAGAGAGAGAGAGAGAGAGAGAGGTATAGAGATACACACACATGAGAACATAAAATCCAAAATTTCATTTCCTAACTCAACATAAAACAAGTGATCGAAATCATAAAAAAAAAACAGACATATATATAAAAAAGAAAAAAAAATAGTTTTTCATTTATGATGTTTTTGATAAACACTTTTAATTTTTTTTTAAATATAAACATGTGCATTTTGAATGTCACATCACTGTCACATTAGAATTCAAGTGATTCTGTAGTATTACAGGACAAAAACTACTTACCGGTGACCCCTTGGCTCCAGACTGAACCATCAACTGCAAACTGTTCTCTGGGAATCCTTTCTCTAGTCTAATGGGCATGATAGACCTGTAAATAAATGATAACAAATCATATGTGCAACTGTCATGAAGCTTCAGCAAATTGTTATATGTTAATTACTTGGTGTGGAGTTAGGACTAGACATCACAGCGAGGCAGAGAGGGAAGGAGAAGGGAAGACAGAAGGAGAAAGAAAAAAAAAGGAGGGGGTGGGGGGTGAGGAGACTGTACCTATGCATATCTGCAGAACACATGTATTCATGTTTTTATATATAATGCCTGCTACTAAACTAAATTCACATCAAAACGGCATGTGTAATAAACACCAAGCTTCCAGAGTAACAGAAGTGCTCCATAAACTTAAGTATACATACAACTGCTACTTCCTCTGCACTGAAGTGTATCAGTTATGCTGTATGTGAAGGTACATCAAGAGGGCTTAACCATTTTTCTTGAAATTCCATAGCCCCTAGATTAAACCTCTGACTGTGATTAAGCATGTAAAACAGAACTCAAATAGAAAAATAAAATTATAAATTTTGCCTTATTAGAAAGAAAAAAAAAATCTACAACATGCAGTTTATACATAGAGAAAGTCATTTTTACCTAGCAATGTCATCCTGCACTTTGTCTGTCTCTCCTTTCATACACATGTCAATTTCTGCCATCCTGACACCTCCCTTTTCAAACTGAGCTTGCTTCAGTTCCATTAAAAGATCACTCTCATTTGCCTCTGCCTCATTTAAGCCTAATGCTTTCATCACAGCAGCTTTCCCCACATGCTGGGACTTCTTAATAAAAGATTTCCTCTTCCTGTCTGCCTGTAATATAAATGCATAACAGACACTTGTATGAGTCAGTATAGTAAAACTATTTTCATTTTGCTTAGAAATGTGGCACTTATAGTCTTCTTCTTCTTCTTCGCGTTCACCAGCTGTACACTCTGGTGGAAAGTTCTGGTTGCTCGTCCACTACTGAACTGCAGTCCTGCTCCAGAACCTGAGTGTTGCGTGTGCATCAATTTTACAGATCTCATTCTCTTGAATACAGACTGTTGGTTCCTTGCCTCTCCGGCAGATGCACTCTGACTTCAAAGGAAGCTAACCAATTAGTCGACTCTTACGACATACTTTTGGGGAGTCAGTGGGTCTATTCTTGTTTTCCCCACAATGGGGCCCCGGAACCCAGATGGGGGGCACTTATAGTGAAATTTACTTGAGACTTAAAGAGTTAACAAGTGAAAGGTAATTCCTAGTTAAATAACATTGCTGTATGAAATGTTAGGCTTTCACATGTTAGTCCATAATATAATGATGTGGGGTGCCAAGGCTTGTGTGTGTATGTGTGAGTGAGAGAGAGAGCGTGCGCGTGCGAGAGAGAAAGAGAGGGAGGGAGGGGGAGGGAGAGAGAGATGAAAGAGAGAGAGAGAGCGAGAGCACGCGCATGCAAGAGAGAGAGAGAGGCGGCTTAACATGCTTAAAACAAAAATAAACAGGACAATGGAATTACATCTCAAAATACTTGACCAAGTATGAGAAACTGAAGAAATACCAGCAAATTTCAGAGAATGAGCTTGTGAAGCTGCCAAAGTGAGGGCAAGTGCATAAGTGAAGGCCCAAATGTAAGTCATCATCCTACAAATTTGACAACTTGAAGTTTAACTATGGAGCTTTATGCTTGGTGTAATCTCTCAGTGGGCTAACTGCTGCTGTGTAGGGATAGATCAAACCACACAAGATAAACTTCATGCCACACCATACAAAACATCTTCGACCTGACAGACATGGTCATTAGATACAAGAAGGCAGAGGCGAGGGTGTACCTGGGTGGTGTTGCTGACACAAAACACTCTCTGCATAGCTGCCTACAGGTGAATACAAATAAGTGCGAGGGGATGATGGTCATGGAAGTTGGATAGGGGACTATATTGGTTAAATATGTGCCACGGAACATGTCAGGCTCATGCCGAATGGACAGAAACAACAAAAACAATGCAAGAGTACACTGACATAATAATCACCCCAGGAACGTACTGCAGAGAATGAGGCTGCTGATGCTGAAATAAGGGCCCTTATGCATGCATGCACCTGACTAGGTAACATCATCATCTATATAGATGGCACAGCGATTCTTGCGGTGCAGTCTGGGTGAGCATACTCAGCAGGGTACCATCAGTATTGGAACTCTGCGCTGGCTGCTGAAGCTGAAGACAGTGCTGTGATGTCAATTCTTGATTCAACTCAACTCAGCTCAGCACAGGTGAATGTGAAGACAGTTCCCCCCCAACCCCCCAAAAAAAAAACAGAAACGCAGGCATTAAGTTCAACTACTTCTAGCATGATGATGGAGATGGCAGCTGTCACAGAGGCACTTGCATGGTTGGCAACAACAACAAAAAGGTTACTCGCCCATTGATTCTTACAGACTCATTGAGTATGCTTAAGAAGATCCAAAGCAACAAACCGTGTCTAGAATTGGTTGACAACATCCAGAAAACTCACCTCTAGAAACTATCTTGGCTGTACATACCAGGGCATGCCAGGGTGTGAAAGGGAATGAAAGAGCTGACAGAATGGCTGTGTCTGCAATAGTTACATGGAGAAAGATGTATAGACAGTGCAGACTGAATGTGCCGTGTTCCAGGGATGGTAGGACCAAAAAAAGTCAGAGATGATTAACTTCTAGTTGGAAATGGATAGTAAACAAGGGCAAGCCTTTCACCTTTGAACTTTAGGAAGGGGGTGGGCTGTGTGGTCTCGAGGCATGGTATCCGCCTCGAGCGCTAGAGGTTCCGGGTTCAATCTCCGGTAAGGGCTAGGATTATTTCACGTGGACTTGGACTTCTAGCAATTCCCCTGGGTCTCTGGGTAGTGAGATCACACGCCCATATGCATTGTTGCGCACGTTAAAAATCCCTTGGCAGTTGGAAATCATAAAAAGTAGCCTGACAGCACTGCCTGCGCAAAATTTAGAATTAAATTTACCCAAAGTATTTCAGGATCCTTGCCTGTGCTACAGAACCTGTGCACTGTGCTGAGATTCTTCGGACTCAGACTTGAGTTAGAAGATGAAGGGAGCACTTTTGGGTTACTTACCCATGTGCCATGATATTGACGCGTTGTTCAAACTTCAAACTTTAACATATTGTCAACAATGGAAGCCATGATAACCTGCCGGTCTAAAGGTTCTGGGCTCAAAACTGCATCAAGGCAGGTTTTCTTTCAAACTTGCCCTTGGCTCCCTGATTGACACAGCCAGGCAATGTCGAGGCAGTACTAGGTAATGTCCTGGGAAATAAAGACTGCTGGCGTGATGCTGACCACAACATCCACCAAGGGAGGATTGCTTTATAAAAATATGAGTCCAGCCTCATATGCCCTATGCGCCACTGGCAAAAAATGGATCCTTTACTCTTGCAAAACAACATTAAACAATGCTGAAATAACAAATCAGATACGATCCTTTATAAGCAAACACTGAGTACCTTTCTCTGTACAAGAATATCTCCAGATCCAAGGGAGAACCCAGTGTTGTGCAGAAATGATGTAAACAGCCGGCCCAAGCAGGTCAACAGTCTGCCAGCAACATCTCCCCCGTACAGCTAAGCAAAAGACAAAGAAAAACAACACTTTAATTCAGCAGGTGGATTAGGGGAATTTATTTAAAGTGCACATCCTGTAATTTCTTTCGAGTCATAAAAAAGATAACATGTAAAGCTACTAGTATCAACTGACTGTGAACTTGATAATAAACTTAATTCTTCTAGCATGAGCAAACTGCATTTACTTGGTATTAAATGTAAAGATACCAGTATCAACAGACAGTCAAACAAACGTTAGTCTCCCCACAAAAATTAGGTCACATTCCATTGATAACTTTGTTGGACTGGTCTACCGTGCTGGTGGTTACAGGTGTGCCGCTCTGTTGTTTGCTATCTGCGTTGTCTTGCATTTGTGTTTTTATTCCGAGAAAGAAAATGCCTGTGACATAGGTTTCATCACTCTCTAATGGGGTTTTGTGTTAGACCCAGTTTGTGGAGTGTTTAAAAGCCCTGGCATGGTAAAATATACAACAGACGATATCAAAGGCATTGCAGAACACCCCCGTGACTTTGAGCCAAGGTCACATGGCTCAAGGCCAACCAATCAGAGGTGAGCTAGTGTGTATATGGGTGGTCCGTGGGGAGACCAACATTACTATTACCCAACAGACTACACACTTACAAACATATAAGGTGATAATTATTTTGTAAGTTTCTTCACAAAAATGCACAATGTAAAATCTTTCTGCCCCAAGCAACACACCATGTGTGACAGCAGATTATTCATCTGTACCAAATCAGAAAGAACCTGGAAGTGACATATAGTCAGCAGATATGACTTTCTGGGGCAGACATAAACAACAATGGCGAAAATAGTACCAACAGATAAAAAGTGTAGTAATGAGGATGTCTTCTGGTCTTTAAAAAAAAATACCATCCAGCTGCTTCTGATGATCGCACTGTGAGCTGCCATCTTGCTACAGCTAGTTCGAAGATGAATTTCAAGCTGTGTACATTTCTCTGCATAATGTTACTAATACAGCTCTTTAAATTGTGAAAAGTACCCTTTTTTTTAAAACCAATCTCTTGTGAATATAAAATCTAAAGGAACAATTAAATAGCACTAACAGCAGCAACAATCAATCTGATACTCTATTCTATTCCGTGCTATACTGACCTCATAACAGCAGTGAACCAAACTGTATGATGATGGCCCATAATGAGCCTTGTCCAGCACTCCCTGCAGCAACTCTCCCTGGCTAATGATCACTGTGCTTTCTCCCATCCCATCAGAATCAGAGATAACCATGTTCAACGGCAGAATGTTCTGGTAATTTGCCTGGTATCGTGTCCAGCTCTTGAAAGAAAAGTTTACTTTAGTTTTTCAGAGCGGAAAAAAAAACACATAAAACCAAGCAGACTATACTGATGTGTTTTGTGTGTGTTACAAACTGTTCTAAATACAAGAATTGACATCACAGCACTCGGGCATTTCCATGCATGCTCCGTACTCCTCCTCTGATGGTACTGGTCACAATCTGGTTATATAACCGTCTTGCCTTTCCTCTGAGTGCAGTGAGCCGGCCAGACCCTCTGGTTACACCCAGGAGCCTCATTCTCTCCAGGCCATAATGATCTTATTTCTCTACTGATTCCAACGCTTGTTCCCAAAGGGCCTTGACCACATCTGCCTTGTCATGTATCAATTCACCACCCAGTGGTGCAGATCCAGCCAATCTGTCTGCCTGTTCATTACCCACTACATCGGCAGTGCTTCTAAATATAAGATTCTACCATGAGACTGTAAAAGGTTGTTCTCAGCATAATAATTGGCTGCCATAATAATTAATATGTATATAACACATACATTTAGGAAGTTACTTGGCCATTTTTTTTTTAATTTAAGTGTTTTTCACACTGTCAGTGGAGAATTCAAGTTATTAAAGATGTTACAGTTCTCTTCCCTTTTTTCTCTCACTTCCTAACTTGCTCGCTCGCATGCAGATTAACTTACTCATTTCATTATCGTGTTGTGTGTCATTTATAAGTCACATAAGGCCGTCAGTAAATCTTACATTCCATTCAATCCAGTCATTTTTTGTTTATGGAATTTAGTCTGATACTCTGGTTTCTTTTATCAAGGTTTCTTTTGGACATCCTTACTTCCTCAATCCATTTGTTTCCAATTTCATAATAAGAAATGGGAAAAACTGTATGGTATATCATATACAAAACTAGCACCCATTTAAGGCTGGGTCAATCTGGAAGCTAAGGTAATGTTTTAAGAAAAGTCAGACTCTGCATCTGACTGCTTCACTATGGTGACTTCATTGGCTATGTGTGTCTGTGTGTATACATATATATATGTGTATATGTACGTGCGTGTGTGTCCCCACTATATTCTTATTTCCTTTCTTTCATAACCTTGCCAGCAATGTCAGAATAGTGAGTTCAGAGCTAGCACCTATCATATGTTCATTTAATAGAGACCAACTATTCCACACAAAACACTTTCCCCTTCTTTTCATTTACAAAGTTACTGGGAAAAGGGAAAGGTGGGGAATAAATTAATGCTGTTTTCTGGAGCCCTGGTATTCTTTTAAACAAAAACAAAAAATCCCTTCTGCATAGTAAAAGTCGGTAGTAATGTGTATACTGAGCTATCGAAGAAGAAGGTCGCAAGTATCAAATAAACTGTATGCTAAAAATATCACTGTTGAAGATGTTCCTATGATCAGTGTTTTATGTTTATATCAGCAATAATGATGCATGATTTGAAGACATCAATGGATGCCAAGCCTCATGTGACAAGGTTCTAAACAAATACCATCTACTTAGGTTGTACCTTCTCAGGTATCTTTGACTTGCTTCTCAAGGTGATGGCTGCTACCCCTTTGGGGATGAGATTCAACAGCACTGTGCTGATAATCTGAAAGAAAAACAATCCAACATTAAACACTTTACAGAAGATAGGGTGAAGCTAAATGAGTAGATAGATTGCCTGTGTGGGTTCCGGGGCCCCATTGTGGGGAAAACAAGAATAGATCCACTGCCTCCCCAACAAGCATGTCATAGGAGTCAACTAATTTGGGAGCTTCTTTCAAAGTTAGAGTGCATCTGCCCTAGCGGCAAGGAACAACCAACTGCACATGAACAAGCCAGTAAAATGGATGTTTACACAAAAATGAGGCCCTGGCACAAATGGACAGAAAAGAAGGATGTTCCACAGGAGCTTACAGCTGGTGAACAAAGAAGAGGAAGAAGAAGAATGGCTAGTGCTGTCACTGATGGTATCCCAGAGTAGATACTGCTATAGCAGGTGAAGTATCAAGTGACAGAACATCTACAATAAGCCACGAGATTATTATGTTGAAGTGATAAACACCCTTTCATCTTCGTTAGACTATTAAAGGGCAGCTGGCGTGTTGTGTTGCGGTTTACAGCTAGGCTGCAGTATCTGCACCCTTTGGTCCAATACATCCAACTCCTAATTAGCTGCCTTTTATAACATGCTTTTCAGAGGACAGTGGATCTATTCTTTCATTTTATTTAAAATGTGGACTCCTTTCTCATGATCTCTCCCTAAAAAATATGGTATTTATTTTATGAGGTTGATTTTACAACACCTATTTTGGGGAACTAAAGGACAGCGTTTGCGCCCATAACTCATCTGTGAATCACCATGGTGCTCAGAGGCTGAGCCAGAAGCTGACCCAACAAACGCAAGCTACAGATAAGTGGACATATTAGTCCAATCTCAAACCGAGACATTTTTTATATCCCATCCAGTTCCATGATTAGATTACTTTTACAAATTAAATGTTATACTTGTTAATGTTCTTCCAGACTTTTGAAGTTTATTTCAACAGTGTATGTCAGTGAAAAACAGCTACTATTATTTCACTATATACATAAATATACCATTTATATAACAGTAGGAATCAGATGTGGCAAACCACGAATCCTCTCCTTTAACCAGCAAAGGCTGGGAGACACATCACTTCTTTTAGGATGTTTCACTGTTTAAGATTTCCTCTGTATACTTTCTGTATGTGAGGTCTTGTACAGAATAGAACGATAATTATTTTCTGGTATCTTCTGTAGACTGCAAATTCAGCATTCACAACAACAAAATGAATTCCACGCTACAGAGTTGCAAATTAATTTGCTTTGATTTCTTGCTGGAAATGATTCCTTATGAGAGCCAAACAGGGACTGAGTTATTTATTTGCTAGCATATATATTGGTTTAACATTATGTATACAAAATCTGTGTAATTTGTAGGGGGAAAAATATATACCTGTTTGCCTGACCATAAAGGATATGGTTTCAAAATGGCTGGAGGTAACATTGAAATTTTATCTCTGGAGTCGCTCAAAGAGTTCCAAACCAGACTACAATAGTCTTGTCTGAAAAAATAACAGAAAGAAACAGGCAAAAGTAAACATTAGAAATACAGGATCCATAATACTGTTTTTATGTTTAAAGAAAAACCTTTCTGGTCAAAGTACAGAATGCAAAGAATGCAAATGAAGGTAAAGTTAAGACCCATATCACAGAGAATTCTGAGGTTATAAATGCTTAATTTTCTCCCATGCTAAACCCGCTGGCCACCCCCTGCTGTTCTGACCAATGTGATTATTATCTTGCATAAATCTGTCTTTCGATCCTGGCATTTTCACCCATTCCCTTCCTTGCCTGTTTTCTCAAGCTTGCATACTTGCCTGATTGTGTCTTTTATTTGAGGCAACACAGACTTTCCTCATCAGCCTGTGACCCTTGGCTGCATCCACTGCTTCATGACTCAGCATAACTATCAAAACAGAGTATCTATCTAAACGGGGTTAACCTCAAGCCAGGCAAGTCAGGAAAAAAAACTGCTGGGGACTAAAGTGATACTAATGACTTAGCAAGTAAGCATACAATGATGCTACATTGTTGGCACCGTCTCAAGACCAGTGTTATAATATGTAACAGAGAGGCATATGAATTACAGCCACTTAGGGCCAGAAATGATGCTCATCCTCTCCATAGCATAAATCCTGGGCAGTATTGTAGAAACCATGCTGTCTATGCAGCAGGATATTGTGCAATGGCTCCAATATAAACAATCAGTATTCTAAACTTATACTGAACTGTAAGTAAAGTTTTGGTACAGCAGTAGCATTACAATAGTAGTGGTAATAGTAGTGATAGTAATAGGCTTTAGTAGTAATATTGTAGTAGTCACAATAGTAGTAATAGTAGGGGTAGCAGAAGAAGATGTAGCACCAGTAGTAGTTCTAAGAGCAGCATTAGTAGTAGCAGCAGCAGCAGTATTAAAAATAATAGCAGTACTAGAAGCAGTAACAGCAGTAGTAGTTTGTGTATACTTCACATGAGGTTGCAGAAACAAACTCAGCATTCTCTAGATGTCTGGTAATTTTAAGCAATTTTACATTCACTACTGTGCCATTAATTTCTGAAGGTTGGTTTCCCTATCCCTCTGCAATCCAAAAGGATTGTGTTTCTCTCTGTGTGGCTCCTGTCATGTGACCTGCCTGAACAACACTAACATAGCTCTTGGGGTTATTTGAACCCGCAAGCCCTCTACTACACTCAGGTGGAGACACATCTGAGTGGGGGCTGACAATGACAATATCTGCTAAACTCACCTGGAGAAGAAACGTCCCCTGATGGACAGTGTAACACCAGCCACCACATGATCCTGTATCAGCCCAGCCAGAGGAGTTCCATCTTTGGGCACCAGGTAATTATAGTCTGTGCATGCTGTCAAATATGGACAATATCAACAACAAAATCCCTGTCTTATCAAGAAAAATATATTTTTGCCTGCACAATAAAATGCTTTAACAAAAACGATATTGGTGTGAAGACTGGGGCAAGTAAGTTGTTCAACTTGTTGTCCAGAGAAGATCAGATCTAGTTACTTCCAGTTGCTACACAGTCCCGTAAATGCAGATTATTTACTTTTCTGCAGTGATCTGCTCTTGAACAGCATTATTAAATGCCACTGGTTCTGTTTGTACCTGCACAGTGTTTAGTGGTCTGGATATGAATACTTACTTACTTAGTCCTCTTCTACCTTGGGGTGTAGAGGTATGCCAGAGAGATCGCCAGACGTCTCTATCAGCAGTTTTCTTTCTGGCTTTGTTCCATTCCAGTCCTCTGTCAGTTAGGGACTGTCGGATGTTGTCTTCCCAGCACACCCTGGGTCGTCCTCGAGGTCTGGTTCCCTGGTTCTTAGCCTCCCATGCCTGCCATAGTGGCAGATTTTCTCCCATTCTGCATACATGTCCAAACCATCAAAAATGTGATTGGTCCACTTGGGTTTGTAAGGATTGGGTATCAAGATCTTGACATACTGTCTGATTGCGGTCTTTGTCCCTTCTTGTCACTTGGACCACCTTTCTCAGATATCTGATTTCTGAGGCCTGAAGCTGGCTTCTGTGAACTGTTGTCATTGCCCATGACTCACACCCGTAGGTCAGGGCTGGTACATAGGTAGAGCAGTAAACAGCAATTTTCGTCCTCTTACCAATTTGTCTTTTGCTAAGAAATTCTCGGTTTATGGCCTGAAGAGTCTCCCAGCTGCTGCTTTTCATGTAGCCAGCTGAGTCTTATGATCTGGTGTTTCTTCTCCTCTCTTGAGATCACCATGATTTTAGTTCTGGAGATACTGATGATCATCCCTCTCTTCTCAAGCTCTTCCTTCCAGACAAGTAAGTTGGACTGAAAGTGTGCCTCTGATTTAGCTATCATGGCCACATTGTCTGCAAATGCTAGCTCTGTGATATGAATACATTAACTAAAAATAGCATTTATGGGGTTTTCCTGTTAGCAAAATGGGTTTTAAAGCAATGGTGATGTCAGATGTTACTGTAGGCCTCAGTTGGGGAATGTATTCTATAAAATGCTTCACTCTTTTCATGTTTAATGATTACTCCCTGTGTATATTGGTAAGGGAAAGGGTGTAGTGGTGGTGGATTGTAATGTCAATAAACATATTTTCATTTAATTTAATAATGACCAGCATTACAAAAATTGTAAAGGTGTTTTTTTTTTTTTCAGGAATCTCCATGGATTTATTACATGTTTTTAAGCATTCCCAGGGGGAAACGGTTAACAAATCATTAGCATTCTAATTTTATGACTGCTCATGTGCTTTTCCTTAACAAAAATCACAATACTGATTTTCAGCTAAATTTTACAGCCATGAAAGCTACTGATAACCTAATGTTGGTACCTTTCCTTTCCAAATACATTGTATAGATGCTTTGTGAAACAGATAAAGCACACAGCTGTGGGGTTTTTCTCGCCCACATTCAATGTGCTGGCAAGCCAATAGTCAATCTCATCCTCTACTTACAATGTGCTGGCAAGCCAATAGTCAATCTCATCCTCTAATTACAATGTGCTGGCAAGCCAATAGTCAATCTCATCCTCTAATTACAATGTGCTGGCAAGCCAATAGTCAATCTCATCCTCTACTTACAATGTGCTGGCAAGCCAATAGTCAATCTCATCCTCTACTTACAATGTGCTAGCAAGCCAATAGTCAATCTCATCCTCTACTTAAAATGTGCTGGCAAGCCAATAGTCAATCTCATCCTCTACTTAAAATGTGCTGGCAAACCAATAGTCAATCTCATCCTTTACTTACAATGTGCTGGCAAACCAATAGTCAATCTCATCCTCTACTTACAATGTGCTAGCAAGCCAATAGTCAATCTCATCCTTTACTTACAATGTGCTGGCAAACCAATAGTCAATCTCATCCTCTATTTACAATGTGCTGGCAAGCCAATAGTCAATCTCATCCTTTACTTACAATGTGCTAGCAAGCCGATAGTCAATCTCATCCTTTACTTTCAATGTGCTGGCAAGCCAATAGTCAATCTCATCCTCTACTTACAATGTGCTAGCAAGCCGATAGTCAATCTCATCCTCTACTTAAAATGTGCTGGCAAGCCAATAGTCAATCTCATCCTCTACTTACAATGTGCTGGCAAACCAATAGTCAATCTCATCCTCTACTTACAATGTGCTGGCAAGCCAATAGTCAATCTCATCCTTTACTTACAATGTGCTGGCAAACCAATAGTCAATCTCATCCTCTACTTACAATGTGCTGGCAAGCCAATGGTCAATCTCATCCTTTACTTACAATGTGCTGGCAAACCAATAGTCAATCTCATCCTCTACTTACAATGTGCTGGCAAGCCAATGGTCAATCTCATCCTCTACTTACAATGTGCTGGCAAACCAATAGTCAATCTCATCCTCTACTTACAATGTGCTGGCAAGCCAATAGTCAATCTCATCCTTTACTTACAATGTGCTGGCAAACCAATAGTCAATCTCATCCTCTACTTACAATGTGCTGGCAAGCCAATAGTCAATCTCATCCTTTACTTACAATGTGCTGGCAAACCAATAGTCAATCTCATCCTCTACTTACAATGTGCTGGCAAGCCAATGGTCATCCTCTTTAAGCTTCAACATTCTTATACCATTCCAATACATTCTTGGACAATCTCTGACTTATTTGGCAAACAGAACTTACCAAGAACTGCAGCAACTTTCCAATACATTCTTGGACAATCTTTGAGTTATTTGACAAACAGAACTTACCAAGAACTGCAGCAACTTTCCAATACATTCTTGGATAATCTCTGAGTTATTTGACAAACAGAACTTACCAAGAACTGCAGCAACTTTCCAATACATTCTTGGAGAATCTTTGAGTTATTTGACAAGCAGAACTTGCCAAGAACTGCAGCAACTTTCCAATAAATTCTTGGATAATCTCTGAGTTATTTGACAAGCAGAACTTGCCAAGAACTGCAGCAACTTTCCAATACATTCTTGGAGAATCTTTGAGTTATTTGACAAGCAGAACTTGCCAAGAACTGCAGCAACTTTCCAATAAATTCTTGGATAATCTCTGAGTTATTTGACAAACAGAACTTACCAAGAACTGCAGCAACTTTCCAATACATTCTTGGAGAATCTCTGAGTTATTTGACAAACAGAACTTTCCAAGAACTGCAGCAACTTTCCAATACATTCTTGGAGAATCTTTGAGTTATTGACAAGCAGAACTTACCAAGAACTGCAGCCTCGGCCCTGCTTAATTCACACTGAGGAAAGTGAGCGTTCATCTCATCACCGTCAAAGTCAGCATTGTAAGCCTTACAGTTGGAATAATTCATTCTCAGGGTCTTTATATCTGGCAACACTCGGGCCTGCAAAACATGTGTACTTATAAATTAACTTGCTGTTACAATAATTACTGGCACCCTTCCTGCACAGACAACAGCACTGCATATATAGCAGAGTGGTCTTTTTTGACTAATGCTATGTCAGTTCTACAAGCAGTTGTTAACCAAAAAGACACGCAGTTTGTAGACTTGACGCAACAGCAGATTCGCTATGCTCTTCAGTAGAACAATCTACTACAATGGATTCCAGGTTACTGTGGCTTGGAAGGCAATGAAATAGCAGACAGATTGGTCAGAAGCTGCAGTGATATGGTACAACCAAATAGCAACCCAACCAACCAAAAGATGAAAACATTATTACAATCTAGTATCCAAGATAGGTGGCTGGATGCACACCAGATTCTCTCCCCAAGACTCACTTAATCGCCTCTCTAGAGAGGGATAGTGTATTATATTTAGACTAAGGACAGGGCTAAAAAAAAAAAATGTCAATGGAAGTTAAAACTTTTTAGTGTAGAAAACATGGAGACATATCCCTGCAGTGTGGCACCTGAAAATGGTGAGTATGTACTTCAACACTGTTAACTGTATGCTGACAACAAAGATGCAATCTGGCCTGCTCCAACCACAATGAAGACTAAACTCTTTGGTACATGAGAGGATATGGACTCACGATAGCTTTCATAAAGGCTACTGGCCTCCTGATTAAAGTTTCCTGACCGAAGGATAGAAGAAGAAGAAAACTGGCACCCTGACGACTAATAGACTGCAATAAATAGGACATTTATACACACAATGGCAGATAACAGAATGACACGAGAGATTAATGGAAAGTAGACCCTGAGCCAGACCAAGAAGACGGTGGACAGATAATATACAAGCAGACCTACAGACACCTTGAGTCATAAAAATAAAAGAGAAGGCCAGTAAGGGAGGTGAATATAGGTGAGTGATATTTACCACAATGAACATAAGGGCTTAGAATGCTGAGTTTCCTGTGTAGGTTCTTGGGCCCTATTGTGAGAAAAACAAGAACTGATCCACTGTCTCCCCAACAGGCCTGCTGTTGTAGGTGTCAACTAATTGGGGACTTCCTTTGAAGTCGTAGTGCATCTGCCCGAGCGGCAAGGAACAACCACCTGCACACAAATAAGCCAGTAAAATGGATGTATACGCAAAATTCAGGCCCTGGCACAAAATCAAGTCAAGATGGATGAACAACCAGGACTTTCTGCCAAAGCCTAACATCTAGCTTCTCATACATCAATTCACCACCAAAAGTTGAATTAGGAATCGAAATCATAGCACTTGGGACACTCCCATAGGTGCTCGGTCCCCATCTTCAGCAGTAAACAAAGAGTTCCAATTAGGATGGTACCAGTAATTCACCACCAAATGGTGCAGAACCAGCCAGTCTATCTGCCTGCTCATTTCCCAACACACCAGCACAACCTTGAGAAAATATTCAAAACACTAACTAGGACCTCTGAAGAGATGCTTGCCACTCTGCACAGAGCATGTCTGTCTTAAACTTATTCAACATGCTCTGTGAGTCAGTTAAAATTATGACATGTGTGTATAGCTGATTCTCGAGCCAGCGGAAGGCAGGCAGTGACTGCCTCCACCTCCATTCTCAAACTGATTGATTGGCACCTTTCCGTCTTTCCAGACAATAGTGTTATATTGTGCCATGAGGAGGCATGGACTCACAGCCCATGGGGATGGTGAGTGTGACTAGCAAGATCCGCCGGTGTCCTCTCCATAGCTCAAAGCCTGGGCATTATTGTAGAGAACATATGTTGCCCATGCATCATGATCCCCCACTCGACCTGCTTTGTTTACTCCAAAGGAAAGGTAACAGCAGTACGTTTGGAACAAAGGAGGCTGCAGAAGCTCAAACTAGACGTGATATCATTAGCCAGGCTTTGCTGCACTAAGTGACGTCCATTTTTTTGCTATGAACTTCCATGCACTTCGTCTGCTTCTCAACACAAAGCCATCTGTACTGGCAATCACATACCCTGGGTGGGAATTGCCATGAATCATTTGTTGAACTTCTGATTCTGCAGCACCAGCTGGCCAGTCCCTGCACTCACAACCTAAAGTGATTAGAACCCTACACAAATCTGATTTGGAACTTTGACCCACTCCTTTCCTTGCCAAAATTTATCAAGTCTGCATACTTCGTTTTTCAGCTTGCGCCTTCCAAGACCTTCCTCTTTTTAGTCTGTGACTCTTAGTTCTACCAAGGGCTTCATGCAGGACTTAATTCTGTATGCGTTCAAGTTTCATCAGCTACCTCACTGATATGGTAAGCATTCCAAGTCCATAATCAATTATCAACAGGATCACATGCTGGAATATTGTGAACAGCATTCTTTATTCCATGTCCATTGCTGTAATAATTCTGAGTGTCCTTTGTGGCCTGACAAACAGATGACAGTTTTAGATGGATACAAAACACATACGCAAAACTGCAGTTTGAAACATGGCAGTAACAACACATTGCTCTACCTTGTGAGCCTGCATACTGGGTCTGTGCAGTGTTGGCTGTCGATTGAGCAGCAAGTAGTCACCATTGATTAGATGCCGACACACCTGTGGAATATGAATAAATTTTGAGGGTCACCAATGAACAGATGCCGACACACCTGTGGAATGCAAATATGTTTCAAGGGTCGCCAATGAACAGATGCAGACACACCTGTGGAATACAAATATGTTTCAAGGGTCACCAATGAACAGACGCCGACACACCTGTGGAATGCAAATATGTTTCAAGGGTCACCAATGAACAGATGCCGAAACACCTGTGGAATGCAAATATGCTTCAAGGGTCGCCAATGAACAGATGCCGACTTTCAAGGGTCACCAATGAACAGATGCCGAAACACCTGTGGAATGCAAATATCAAGAAAAATTTTTTGCTTCTACCAGACTGTGGCCGTTGCTTTTTTGCTCCATTTGTAGACTGGAAGTATATAGTTTTGTTGCCCAGCCTCTGAGTTAAGTGCATGGCGTGACACTGTGAGCTGCGGATTTTATTTGGAATGTTTTTTGACTGACCAACGTAATGGTGTGATTTGTAGATTCAGAAAATGGTGCAATGCCGGTTGTCACAATATTGGTGGGGCCATTATTTGATTAAAATTGATCGCGTGTGCAACTGCTGATCTTTTAATGACTTCTGCTACCATCAATGATGAACTGCATTTTTAACGTCGAACTGTTTGTGTAGCACTTCGGATGGCTACCATATGCTTTTAATGCGAGTGTATGCTAGATTCGCTGAGAGAGCAGTTTGTCCGTCTTTCCACAAGGGGCTGTGATAAACATTCTGTGTGTTTTTCGTTGGCACAGGAGCAGAGCAAAGATGGGGTGACCTGTTTGCTATGAAGCTAAAATTAAAATTACCAGATTACCAGAAATATCAAGAAAGAAAATGTGTTGCCATGTTTCATCAAACCTGTTCCCTAGGTGGGTTCCGGGGCCCTATTTATGGGGTGTGTTGGGGGAGGGGGAGGTGTGAACTGCCTCACTAACAAGCAACAAATTTGGGGTTTGCTGACACTGGATGTGTTGGGCTGAGAGGCGCAGAAATCACAGCTGTGCTGTTAACCACAACACAACATGTCAACCATGCTTTTAAGGGTGAACACATAGGAAGAGGAAGACAAACTGCATGTTAAACAAATCAATGTCCTAAAGGTTTCTATGATCAATATTTTATGTTTATATCACTAATAACCGCACACCATTTAAAAGCATTGACATTTGCCAAGGGTGACTGCAAAAGAAAAAAGTAGAATCTAGCCTGTGCATATCTAATTTCGACAAGAATATTTTCAGGTTTGCTTTCCCACTTCTTTAAACAAGAAAAATTAATTTTTGTTTAAATTGTTAATACATAAATTTTTTTCAAACTAATCTTCACATTTTCCATGGTGCATTAACATATGATGCTAGACTCGTATAGCCTGTGCATATCTAATTTCGACAAGAATATTTTCAGGTTTGCTTTCCCACTTCTTTAAACAAGAAAAAATAATTTTTGTTTAAATTGTTAATACATAAATTTTTTTCAAACCAATCTTCACATTTTCCATGGTGCATTAACATATGATGCTAGACTCGTATTATTAAAGACCCCGGCAACCTAAACTTTCTATGACATATTTTGGCACCTATTTCAGGCCGGGTCTACTCTGGGAATTTTTCATCAAAATCTGACTGATGTGGATTTTAAATGAAGGGAGCATCCAGCAGTTCCCTTCCATGGTCTTTGAGTGTCCTCCAGCTACCTATCTCTCCTTAGTGGTTCTTATCTACTGACACATCCCATGTGAGAGACCCTAGTAGTAGTTAAGCTACCACTGGCATAGCTCTTGGGGTCAATGAAACACAAACACTCTACCACCACATGGTAGCTTCACTTCAGAGGGGAATAATTTCGTGGACCATCAAGAACTGCAGTTATTATTACTATTATCATTAATCAGAAGAGAAAGACTACATAACTATACCAGCAGAGGTTGCAACAGAATAATAAATAACTGATTATTGACACGAAACTGTGTGCTCCACAGCAACAGTAGGCAACAATGTATCCACTGCTGACCTTGGGAATATTACATGGTGAGGTATCAATATCTTCCATAGAGCGAAACTTGTAGCACTGTCCGAAAACCATCAGGTATTTTTTTATACACGAGGTGCTGCGGAAATCGGACCCTACTACTTGAGAATCATTGTACTGTTGAAAGCATTCACTAACCTCTAAGCCATGGTGTGGCAAATAACCAATCATCATCAATTTTCACAATTCAGTCATATTTTTCCTTGGTTGTTTTAATAGCGGCAAATAACTAGTGCACTCATATCACAGGGTGTATGTCATATACGTTTCCAATTTTAACCTGCTTGGATATTTCTTGGTGTCAGTGTTTAGGCTAGACGGGCCATAGAGTTAAATATATTGGGGTTAAAAATCCTTAACTCTAAGGTGACTCACATCATTGTGGGGTTTGTATAAAGGTAATGGTAGTCTCAAGTATATATAAGAGCATAAAGTGTTAAACTTTCACATTGTAGGCCACGTGTATGAGATGGAGGTGACAGTTCCCTTACTCTTAATCCTTCATTCCCATACAGTTATAAAAATTGGTACATTGCCCATTGTGCGAACATCAAATAGTTTGCTCATCTCGTTAGAATGCAGCTAGAACAGCTACAAACACAGGCGCTACACATGAGAAGATCTGACGTTAAAGCAGGATATCGCCCTAGGAGAAGATGGATTGATGACATTAAAGAGTTTCTACATCGACATGGAAATATAATAGCCACTGCTACCTATCAAACAATGGATCACAAACTGTTCCTCCTCCTGATCCCTAATGGCAAAAACAGAAACTGGCGACGATGACCCATCAGGTGCTGATTGTTGCATACAAATATGGGACTAGAATATTCCTCAAAGCATGGAAAAGGATTCTTTACTTGCTTAATTTACAGAATTATACAAAAATAATTCAATCAATCAGGTGCCATCTCTACAATAAAGGATGGCTGCAATGAATCTCCAACACTGTCATTCACGCCAGATGTAAACTCTCAGAGACTGCTGTTCATCCAACTATTGATGTTTTTTTCTCAGTAGCATCACAGTCTGCCTATTGTTTGTTTGCTTGCCCTCACTTTTTCTCCAGTATGAGTTTTATAACAGTATTGTCTTTTAATATAGCTAAAATATTTCAAGTACCTTTTCTTCTGTATATCTGCATCTCTAGAGACTCAAAACGATTTTCTAATCATCTGTTCTTATCATTTACCAGCAGCTGTCTGGGTACTGAGTGCAGACAGGTCCATACAAGTATGAGGCTATTGCCATATACCCAATATGCTTCGACACAAGGGAACAAAATTTGTTTTTAACTTTTTAAGTCTCAAACAAAGCATTTTACTGGCTTATATGTGTGCAGCTGGATGTTCCTTGCCGCTTGGGCAGATGCACTCTTTGAAGGAAGTTCCCAATTAGTCCACTCTTACATGCATTTTTGGGTCTTCCCTTTCCCACATGAGGCCCCAGAACCCCCATGGTTATATATGTAACAACAACAAAATACCCACCACTTTTGTTCCTGTAACGTTATTATCATTCACCAGCAACTGTCGTGCTATCGCTTCCCGCTGACTAACATCACTTGAGTTCAAGTAAACCACAGTCCCGTCTGGATTGATAACACTGGAAGCACTGGGGATTAAAAAATATACCTTAAACATTAATTCTCAGCAATACATCCTTGTCATTGTGTAACACCATTTTTTTTAAGATAAATAAACAAACCTTTTTAGAATCTTTAAAAAAAAAAAAAAAAATTTTTTTTAACAGAAGAAGATCGTTATAATTGTCTAAAACTCTACCCTAAGAAACTAGAGGAAGAAGTTAAGGAAATTTGGATTCTTGGACAGTTTGTATATGGTTGAAACCCATTACTACTAAGCAGACAGGCAAAGCATGATGGCCAATGCCGCTATGAAATCACTAATATAATTAATATTATATCTTTTTAGTATTTATTTTTTTTTTTTTTTTTGAGGAAAATAATTTGTTTAAGTTAGGAAAAAATTTTACTAAACACAAGTGGAACAGAAAATTAACTGCTTTTCTTCCTTTTGACCACTATAAACGTGGTTTTTGTTTGTTGACTTAGCAACACGTGGAGCAAAAGTGACGTCATAATGAAATGACTGTTATATGTAAATGATGACATCAGTTTAGAGGGAGGTGGTGGGGTGGAGGGATATAATCATACCTATCATGTCTACACATTATGCAGCTGCAGAAGTTATAAAGCTGCTATATAAGTGTGACGGCCTAAACTTAAACTTATAAATGCTGGAAAAATTGCTTTTTTGTGGCAAAAAGCATTAAACATAACTCCTCAATACATCTGTGTTAGTGTGTAATCTATTTTCAGATAGATAAAGAAGCCTCAAAAACTTCATTCTCTACAACACATCTGTGTAATTGTGCAGCACAGCTTTTCTTTTATTACACTGATTGTTTTGCCAAATAGAAAACATTTGTAAGAGGAGATACTTTAGGAAAGTGGAAAATCAATATATGTGAGATGAGAAACCGCTGGAACCAATCTAACTATCTGATACAGTGCAAGAAATTATGCAAATTAGACATATTATGGAAGTAGAACCTTGAGTCAAATACAGTGAAAAACAAGAGATAGTTTTGATATCTTGTAAGAATGCAGCAGTCCCATTTCTATTACAGGTACAACATTTAAGAGCTGACACAAGAGCAAGAGGATGCTCAGGAAGAAGAAGCATTAAAAAAATCCTCCAAAATGATCTGCAGAAACCATTCAAAAAGGACAAAAGCCTTAGTGGGAGTTGCTGAAAAAGATTAAAGGCAAAGAAGACAGACACATACACAGCTTACCCTGGGTACTTATTAGGACCATTAATGACCATCTCCCGAAGTACATGAATGTTCCATGGAGTCACTCCCTGAGGATAAGTCAATTTTGATGCAAAAACCATCGGGATTCCAATTTCATTTGTGGCAATATAGGGATCAGGGGAGATAACTGAACGGGCTGCAAAATTCACACGCTTTCCCATCATGTGCATCCTTAAAAGACCTTCTTTCTTCTCCAGCATCTGAAAAAAAAGGACAATTGTATAGTCATATGAAAAACATGTGTTTTATTTCATTATGATTACATGACATTCTGATAAGGAATAGGTAGGTAATCATAACTTAGGTAATCTTACATGATCTCCAGTAAACTTGAACATCCCTGTGTTCTTGTCCTCTTATTTTCATGTGGTAAAGTCATCCAGGTGTTCATCTATGTCTTCTGCTTGTTCTTTTTTCAATTAAGTTTGTCAGTTGTCAACAAATTAATACTGACTGTATGCACAGATAATTTCTCTGCAAATGTATACTTACTGTCAACATCTAATTTCTCTACAAATGTATACTATCTTGTCAACATCTGAGTGACGTTTAATCCAATCAGGACTGTGAGCAATAAACACACCATGACACAGAGTGCCACCAATCAGATGAGGATCACCCGGGCACAATTCCCAGAAATCACATTCGATCGTTAGTTTATATAAGGGTCCTTGACAACAGTCGAGGTGGGGCTTTAAAATAACAAAAAACATGTGTCCCATATTTGGGCGGAGTTAATTCACATCTTATTTCTCTGCAGATTTAGAGTTTGTGTCAACATTTAATTTCTCTACAGATTTATACTGTCTGTCAACACCTAATTTCTCTACACATTTATACTGTCTGTCAATATCTAATTTCTCTAATCAATTTATACTGTCTGTCAATATCTAATTTCTCTAATCAATTTATACTGTCTGTCGATATCTAATTTTTCTAATCAATTTATAATTTGCATCTGTCTCTCACAAGCTGCCTTATTTGTTTTTCAATCAGTCTATTATATTTGTAGTTTTCTCCACACATAAAAACCATGTTTCTGCTGCTATTAATCGGTAAATATAGTAAATAGTAAAGAACCCTTTCCGTGCCTTTAGACGTATAGGGCATATAGGGCTAGACCTATATTTTTTTATAGACCAATCGGCACAAGATAGGTGATGTGGCCGGCTGCCTTTACTTTCCCTGGACTACACCCGATACCTACTCAAGGCTGGGTCGACCTGGGAGCCAAGGTATTTTTTGAAAAAAGACAGGTTTCGCCAGGGAGTGAGCCAAGACCTTCCGATCTAGCTGCTCGGCCGTGGCAACTCCCATTAATCAGTTAGGTTTTACGCAATCTCCCCAAAGTAGGTCACTTTTCATTCACAAGTTTGTTGGCTGGCCGGCTTTCCTGAAAGTTACAGGTGTGTGCTACTCTATTGTTTGCTTTCTGTGTTGTCTTGCATTTAAATTTACATTCCGAAAAAGAGAATGCCTGTGACAAAGGTTGCAGCACTCTAGGGAGGTTGAGTTAGAGCCAGTTGCTCCATGTTTTTGGAGCGTTAAAAGCACTGGCGTACTGAAATATACAACACGCTATTTCAACGGCATCGCAGAACACACCAGCAAACTTATGCCAAGATGACAGGTTCAGGAACTACCAATCAGAAGTGACCTAGTGTGTATGGGTAGGGCGTGGTGAGATTAACGTTACTTCTACCTGTTAATCTATTTAATGTTTTTCGGCTTGTCTGCAACAAGCCTTCAACAAAGCAGACTTTATAAAAATACTTTAAACTTTTTCTTACTGTCTTTGGACTTCAAATTACAGACACAGAATCCTTTGAAAATACTCAATATATGCAGCTTTTTTACTTCATTAATCATTGAGTTAGAATGTAAATAAATCTTCCTACAGATTTCCATAAGCCTTTGCCATTTTGAAGAATCTTATAGATTCTAAATAATTTTACCAACATAACCCAGATACAGAAACCTGACAGCGCTCATACATGAAGATAGATGCTGCATCACACCTCACACTGAGTTTTAAAAGTCTTTTTGTATCTTTATATCTATGTCTTTTTATGTGCCTCTATATCTGTCTTTCTATATATGTCTCGTTGCCTCTGTTTATTTAATTAAGTTTTTGTGAGATTCCATTTCCTGCAATGTAATTTTTGCCACATACCTGTCGGATGCCGGGAAACTTGTCTTCTGACAAGTTATCTAAATCGCTGTCCAACACAATATTGACCTTGGCCTGCAGACGTAGCCATGATGCCATGATCTTGTGCATATGTGCTGTAAGGCTTTCATTTGTATCTGGAACTGTCAGGCCCTGAAAGATTTTACATTCACAAATGTTTAAAAGAAATTTACAGTTTTAAAAAAAAAACAGCAAACTATAGATTGTTCTTCTAGTGTGCTATTAACCTAATATAGTTAAACAAGTCACAAGCCAGGTTTTTTCCAAGTGCCAGGATATTTTTTAAATTTTCTATTTCGGGCAAAATAAATGTAAAAATGTGAGTTCTAGGTTCAAATTTATGATAGGTCTGCTTTTTGTTTACTATGTGTGTGGCAAAATAAAGCTACTGCTGCTTTTTCTAAATTCTCCTCACGCTCTGAAGGTTGCGGTTTGTTTTAAAGGCGTGTTGGCAAGTTCAAGAGCACTGTCCCCCCCCCCTCCAATCGATCAGAAACAATGACGTGCGTGATGCTCTCGACAGAACACCAGGTGTTCTGCTAAGAAAGACTAGGATACTGGATAACTCAGGACAATGAAGTGAATTCTCTCCACTTGAAGTTTAGCAGCTGCTGGTGTTTCTTAAAACTGCTTAAATGTCTAATCTGACATCATTTTGTTTTATGTAAGGTTCAATGACAGGGGTCATGTGGTCATTGTTTTTTTTAGGTTGTGGGGGATGTATTCAATGCTTCATCCTTGTTCATGTTCACTGACTATACCTTGCATATATCTTTGTATATTTCAACAACAAAAATATTTACATGTTTAATACATTTGTAACAAATTGTTCAGTGATCTGTGTAAAACTGTTCTGCTTTTTTACTGATTTTTTTTAAAAATAATTTCAACAGGAGTGATGACCTATTTTTTTTTAGTGTTACCGAGGCGATAGGGTTAAGTACTGAGCAACTCACCAGCTAGCTTCAATCACTGATAGACTTTTCTCAACTCCTTGTGACCCATCAAGTTGTTACACTCATTATCTATACCCCATTTCTTACTTTTAACCCATCCTGCCACATAATAACTCCTCAGACCCAAATGTTTATGCTAATTAGTTAAATTAATTATTTCTTAGAAGAGATCCCACTAAAATGTGCCATAATTGGTACCGAAAGAGTTAGAATCGTCATCCTCTTGAGTGATGCAATTTTTAGTTATTTTAAAGCCCCACCCTGGCTTTTGCCGGGGGCCCTAAATATAGCTGGGCCTTAAAAATGGCCTAACGGCTAAACAGGGTTTCTGGGACATCTCTACAGGTGATCCTCATTCGCATGGTGGTACTTTGTGTCACCGGGTGTTTATCGCTTGTGTGATATCCTGGTGGGGTACGACATAATTACCAACCTAACAAAAGAGTTTGTGTGCTATACAGAATCTGTGTCAGTATAAGCACGTGAGACATGGAGAATAAGCAGACAAGCTGAAAAACACATACACATTGTGGATACATGTGTACTGTATGCGACTTTTGACTAAGATGATGGAAAGATAGAAAAACAAAAGAGTCAGTCCTCTTTGAGACAGGTAAAACAATCAATTAAATCAATTCAAAAAATTATACCTAGACAGTCAAGTTGCCTTTTTGGACATGTTATGAGAAGGAACAGGTTCCAGAACTTTGTGATGCCTGGCAGACTTGATGGAAAACAGCAGGGGACAGCTTTGAGATAGAATTGCCTTGATGACTTGGCCATGAGGATAAGAGCACTGACTTGATCAGAAAATACAAACAGAAATCTGTAAACACCTAAGAATCAAGACCTACCTTGACTGTACCCTTCTGAGGCTCTTCCACTTTCTTGATTAATTCCTGCAGAATCAAGCTTTCCCTCAAAACAGCAGAGAGGTTAGCAGTCTGTGAATGCTCAAACTTGCGCCCTTTCATCATACTCAGCTTGGAAACAAGAATGCAAAACGTCAAACACATGTTAAACTGTATGTATGGATACTAGGGCTGTACCGAATAGTGATTTTCACTATTCGGCCGAATACGAATAGCTGGACCAACTATTCGGCCGAATACGAATAGTGAATCATCATCATCATGTGCTTTGCCGGCTGGCATGGGCGATTATGCCTCGCCACAATCTGCGATCTCCTGCAGCACGTTTTAGTTCGTGTGCTGACACACCTCCATGAAAAACCTTCGTTCTATGTTGTCAGCATTAGGGCAGCTTTTTTTTTTTCTCACTGAAAATATTTCCAGCTGTATATATACAGAGAGTCAAGATAAAAACCCGCAAGGCAAAACATCAAAAACAAAAATAACGCCGACGAAGAAAACAATGCCGTCCTCACAAGTCGCCCAGTGCCAACGCCAGAAGATCAAACAACAAAGACAACGAAGAAACCGTACGTCGATCAAAACATTCAGCCGCTGCCGTTTCCACGAGACGACGAAAGAACAGTTACGACACCCATAAATGATGACAAACTCCCGTTACTTCAAACAATCAACGAAGAGGACTCTCCACTCAAAGAAATCAAGCCGACAACACTAGAACACTTGCTTTTCTGCCCCCTCTTACATTTTTAAGTGTTGCATTTTGTTTCTACAGCAACACACCTAAAAACACTATACTCGCAACACATACAAGATGGAAATAAAGGGGCACTTGGTACATTCGTAGGTGGTGCACAAAGATAACGCTTGACAGTATAAACCAAGGTGGGAAATCTTGAAGTGTTTTTTTCCACCAGTCCAGAAACGGTTGTAAGGTAACCACTATTCGTATTTGGCCCGACCGCAACTATTCGGCCGAATACCAAATAGTTATTAGGTCCACTATTCGGCCCCGAAGCGAATATTCGGTACAGCCCTAATGGATTCTATATCGTACTGTATACTTAATATGTCCTATCATCAGACAAGACAGTAATTTAAACTGTATGTATGGATACTGTATCGTACTGTGTACTTAATATGTCCTTTCATCAGACAAGACAGTAATTTAAACTATATGTATAGATACTGTATATTTAATATGTACTTTCATCCGACAAGACAGTAATTTAAACCGTATGTACAGATACTGTCTAGTATTGTGCTGCTTATATGTCATTTTAGTATATAGATCTATCTACTTTTACAACTTTATAGTTACTTATATTCAACCACATAGTTAGATGAATTTCTAATCTAGTCAATCACCCACTTTCAGAACTGTCTTGTTTACATGCTAGTACATGCTAGTAAATCATATATTTTCATGTTACATTTCAATCTGCACTAGTAAATCATATACTTAATTGTTAGATTCAAATCTATACTATCAATCACATTCTTTCTTGTTACATTCAAATCTATACTAGTCACTTCCATACTTTCTTGTTACATTTAAATCTATACTAGTCAATCACATTCTTTCTTGTTACATTAAAATCTATACTAGTCAATCACATTCTTTCTTGTTACATTCAAATCTGCACAAGTCAATCACATACTTTCTTGTTACATTAAAATCTATACTAGTCAACCACCCACTTTTACAACTTTCTTTTTACTTACAGGTCTAAACCTTGTGGGTGGAACTGGAACAGTATCCAGGAAGAAAATATCGACAGGAAATTCACACTCTTTAACCGATGCCAAGAATGGATACAGCTTCTGGAGAAAATCTTTGTCCTCCTGCCAAACCTTAAATATCACGGAAATAACAAGAAATGTAAACATAAAACAGATACTGCCTTTACATGAGATATTTCAAATTTGTGGGGGGGGGGGGGGGGGGGGGATAAATAGAAGCTAAACTTAGCACATATCATTATGCTGTGTCATTTATATGCCACAAGGGGCTTGCAGTCTATTCTTCCACCTTATTCTATCCTTGCAATCCTTCTGATACCATGGGTGGGATCTAGTCCATCATCCTGGGCCTTTCTCATTGTTTTCCTTAGGGTTTATCTTAAACACCCCTCATTTCAAGGTCCATTTTGTGATAAAGTTAGCACAATGGTACAACAATAGTCCACAAACTTTGAGGAATTTACAATACTGTGATTTAAACGTGCAATATCATTAGTGTGATCATGCAAATACATAATAAAACATGCTTATCAGCATAAATGATTTGAGAACAGGGAAAGCGATCTGAGAGCCACCCCACAACCCAGACTGTCGACTGCACAACCCGAAGTGACCTGATCAGATCCTGCGAGTACCAGTGACACCTGTCAGAACAGGCTATCCTTCCCTCTCACTCTCCCGACCTCACTTTATGTCCTGTGAAGCATTCCAGCAATTTAAACCTACGGTAATGCCACTGTCTCTGTCCCACTGGCGAATAACAGCGTAAATGCCAAAGAGGTAACAAAAATCTTAAATTAGTATATTTTAGGAGGAAGAAGACAACGGAACCCACCAAAGGCCACCCGACGCTCTGAAGCAGATAGCTGAGGGCAGTGCACCAAAGGGGACCAGCACTCGGGAATGTCTCTCTAACACCATCCTACCCCCACACCACATGTATTTAAACAATGCCTCTCAGTCTTATTTTAGACTCTTCCCTAATGACAAATACCAAGGTAAATGCCTAAGAGCTAACAAAATCTTATGTAATTTGCATATTTTCAGGAAGAAGACAATGGAAACCACCAAAGGTCACCCGACACTCTGAAGCAGACAGCTGAAGACATTGCACCAAAGGGGACCAGCACTCAGGGATTCCAGTCTCTCTTACGCCACCCTACCCCCAAACCACATGTATGCTAACAATAGGCCTTTCAGTCTTATTTCAGACCACAGCACCTCAACCCAACAGAAGTACTAGCGTCGGGAACCCATCTCTCTCAAGCTATCTGTCGCTCTCATTCTTCCGACCTAACTATCAAATCTACTGGCACATTCGAGCAATAAGTTCTCTCTTTTGCAGACTATCTTAACTCCACTACTTCTCCACACTCTGTGGACACACACATACACACACAAAAACGAGCTGATGACAACAACAGATTGTGACGGCCCTGGTTGTCCTGAAAAAGAACATTGTTGGAGATGCTGTGACCTGGTGTTTGTTTAGCATTTTTCTGTAGCTTTACAGAACGGCAACAAGCAGGCAATAGGGCACCAGCACAGCGACCAGCACGAGATCAACAATCAGCTAAACAACAGATACCGATACTAAGAGAACTGGACCAGACCAGACCTAAAACCCCAGGTACTACACCGGACTTAGGAAGACAAAGAACAGGAATATCTGGTGTGACTTTCCACCACAAATAATAAGAAACCAAAAAAGATAGCCAAGGAATCTTCCTTCATATAGCAGGCCTGCGGGCGGCTGAAAAAGGATCAAATTTGAAATTTTATTTGGACAACTGGAATTTGAATTGGAATTGGTTTGCTGAAATCAAATGTGTTGGCCTGAAGGCTGCAGATATCATAGCCTGGTTGTAAACCACAACACAACATGCTAGCCACCCCTTGTGGTAAACACAGGAGAAGAAAACAAAAGATGGACTAAATACATTTTTAAAATTGACATTTAGATGCATTTAGAGATAAATAAATGCTTATAAACACTGTGAAAGACCACCAATATTGAAAGTAGACAGAAAATATTATGTAGAGCATGGTGAAAAGTAAATTAGACACTTCACTATTGAAGATAAAAAGCTACAGGTGAATGATGTATAGGAGTAAGTAAGTGAAGGACTCTTTTCACACCAGAGGCATATGATGCTAGACATATTTGTAAGGACCAAACAGCACTCATGATGAGGTCAACATTACTGTATAGAAGTCATTGTTAAAAATACAGAATGACATCTCCAACACCTAATGGCCGCTTGACAGTTATTTATCTAGAAACATAACAGCACACACTGTGGCTAAGTCTGGACAAATAGTTTAACAAGTCATGTGACTAAAATATTGATAACGATTAGTCTGAGAAGAATAAGAAGCAAAATAAAATCCACAAATTAGAGGCGGGCTGCTGGAATTTGTAGAAAAAATGGCATAAACAATGCCATACACATCTCGAGACATGAACAGAAAGAAAGATTAAATACAGAGAGATCTGTTTTGGTGCTTTACCGATATACTAAAGCATTTGATACGGTAAATCATAAAGGGATAATTAAGTATTGAAAATGTGATCAACGAGTTATGACAAATTGAAACATTTACAAACAACAACAAAATAGCCATAAGAACTGACAACTAAGTGGCAACACTTAGCGGTATGCTATTACTCAATTTTTACAGTGAAAAAATACCAAGACCCATACTAGACATAAAAAAGGTAGGAGCATTAGTAAAGAGAACAAGAATGCCCAGTACCAACTACCACAGAGAGCCACGCTGAAGAAATACAATGAACAGAGGAAGAAAAAAACCTAGCCTAAAAATAGAACAGTGTTAAAAACAGTATTTAAAAAATGAAGACAACTTATGCAACACATTAGAAACAGCGGTCATCCCCCCCCCCCCCCCCCCCCCCCCGTTTTCCCCCCCCCCCCCCCCCCCCCCACTTTTTCCCCCCAAAGAGGACTGGAGAAAGAAGAAAAAAGAGCTGAAGAATATATGTAATCACAATTTACTTTTCTCAGATGATCTCTAGCAATGTTCGGAGACATGATACATCTCTTGTGCTTGGACTTCAAGAAATGTGCTAGCTCTGTTTGCACCTCTCCGTCGATTTCTTCATCATCTTGGGCAGCTTCCTTGGCTTCATCAGCTACCTTTTCTTCCATGTCAACCTCTTCTTCTGGTGCAGCATCCATATCCTTTATGTCCATCTCAGTGTGTTTGACTTGGCTGTTTAAAAAAGGGATGCATAAATACACGATCGTAAGCTGCATATAATTATAAATACATGAACTAGAGAAATTTCTAACTTTTAAAGTGTTATTTTAATTATAAAATGCAAGAGTTACTAAAATTCGCCCAGACAGGTAATGAAATGGCAAAGAAGATGAATACAGGGAGAACAAAGGAACTGCTGCATGAGACGATAAAAGAAATTATGGCCTGGTGTGAGTTAGCTGAGAGGCTATGCTAGACAGAAGGAATAAAATATTTGCAGTCAAAACTGCATCTGAAGATTTAAAGATTATTTTAGTAGAAAATAGGATATCATTATATTTTTTGTAGCATATGACTTCAGCAAATCAGAAATTCACCATGCATCAAATTAATTTATCTTACATTAATCTCTTCCTGGGCACTCGTTCCTCTATCAGAACTCCGACTATAGTTCGATTGTATTCAGCCTTCAAAGTTCTGTTCCTGGTCTGACAATGGCGACAAGTTGGCTTGGATGAAGAGAACAGACTCAAGATGCTGCGCATGGTGTTCTGGGTTTCTGTTAGAACATTTTTTGATAACACCTTCTCATCCCTTTTTGCACCTGTGTATATGAAAACAGTCCAAGTTAGACACTGATTTCAATTATTTAATGAAATGAAGTTTTACAGAGGTTTCCAAAAGCTGCAACATAAAACTCAAAATGTTTAGATGTCATTTATGATTCACAATATGAGTTTCGAAACCCACTGCAGCCTGCGTGGATTTTTGTCGTGGTATGGGACATCGCAGGTCGACCCAGCCTAAATTGGGTACCAGGATGAGCTGTCCTGGGAAAGTAAAGACAGCCGGCGTAATGCTGACCACATTACCCACAGAGTGCTGATGGTCTATAAAAATATGGGACGCTCTGCCCATATGCCCGATGCGCCGAAAGGCGTGAAAAGGGAACTTTACTTTTTTTTTTAACAATATGAGTTTGAATATCTAATAACCCCCCCCCTCCCCCCCCTCACAATGTCAGTTGTGGGAAGGTTTGTACAGGTCATGCACAGGTCAGAAGGCTCTTGCCAGTAGAAGAGGGACAGCGAGAATACACCATTTTAAGCTGGGATAACAACTTTTAAAGAAAACAACAACATGGAAGGGGAAAATCAGGAGGGCAATGAGAAAGAAGGAAAAAAGTTATTGCGGAAAAGATAAGAGCTAAGCAGAAGTACACTAAATAAGTGAGATGGCAACAATGGTCTTGAGATCCAACTCTCTAACTGTGAAAGATTTTTCTTAATATGGGCAGGTCTTGTTAGTCACATTCGGCATGGTTTGTGAGTCCCATGTCTCCTCAAAGCACAATATAACATGATCTTCTGGAAAGATGCCAACAATTTAACCATTACAGCAATGATTTGCTTGATTTATTGAATACATTTTTTGATACTTCATAAATACATTTAACTGTGTTTTGACTTCCCATTGCTATGTATCAGAGAGTGAAAGTTTGAAAGCAAAAATTTTAATTTAAAAATGCTTACTTGCCATCCTCTTGATGAGCAAAATAATTCAATTCAGTCAACAAATCAACTAGTACAGATGCAAACAAGGATCTTCATGATGAAGTGATTAAGACATTAACCTTACGATCAGGAGGGTAGGGGTTCAGTTTCTGCATTCTTGTAGATAAATGCAAGGTTTCAGAGATCATAAGCAGCTGTTGCTGAAGCTAGAAAATTATGTTCTTTGTGCAACACTATATAGGCAACAAACCATTCTGCGGAGAGAGGTCAAAATCATATGGGGAAAAGTTCAAGGCCATTAAGTCTTCCCTTATTTAAAAATAAAAACATATAAATGCAAAAATGTGACAGACAAACCTTCAATGGTTTCTTTGACAAACTCAATCATTTCATTGAGAGCTTCATTTTCAGGTTTCTCCGAGTGGAGGAACCTTTCCATCAAATCCTGTGCCTGCGTCAGAAAGCCCTTCTGCAGCAATTCTAACTGATAGGCATACAGTCGGATGTGAAGCGGAGAAAGGTTCACCCTATGGCATGACAAGCAAGTGCCCTTCAGCAACTGCAAACAGAACATAAAGCATACATAAATAAATATCAGCAGTAACTGTTTTTACATTAAACATGTGTACCTTATAAGTAAATTCCATGGGAGTTTTGTGCTACTGCAGTGGCCTGCATTTTTACTTTAAAGACCAATGATCATTGTATCTTCTCAATGATTTGTTTTTACTGGCCTTAACTCACAGGTCAGTCTAGCCCAATTATTTCAATTAAGTCTTGGGAGTAGATGTGTGCTCTTTCTAATGTGTTGTATAAGTTGATCTTCATTTCTTTATGGTGTTTCTTGACGCTGTTGTTCCATGTTTAGCGTGATCTTCCTCTTGCACTGTGTTTATTATATTTCTTTAGAGTGGCTCTCTGAGGCAGCAGGTCCCAGGGTATTCTGGTCAGATAGCCTAATCATCTCATCTGTTGCCGCAGCCACATATGTTTAATATTCCTATTAAATACTGTAACAGTCTTGCTTGGTCAACTTGGTTAGAATACACAAGTATTTCCTATTGAATTTTTTCTGGGCATCACTGTGTGGACACTTAAATCTCCTACCTGTGACCAGACCAAAAGATATTTTGTAGATAAATTCAAAACAACCAAAGGTTTGGGAAGGCAAACCTAAAGGAAATGGCTGTCAAAATTGCAATGTAACTCACAAGCTGGAAAAAGATGGCTTAGAGGAAGATGAACAGTGATGTGGGAGCTTATTTAATGATATTCTCAAGCATTTATAGTCAGAATTTAAAATCCATAGGTAATGTTATGTTCAGCCCTGAAAGTCTGTGTGTGTCAACCAATATGGAGTCTAGACAGAGATATTAAAAAAAATGGTTTTCATGCCACTACGAATTCTGTGGAACCAAAAGAAATTAAACTAGTACACAAATTAAAATATCTAGCTCTAATGTCAAATTAGTACTGTTGTATAGAAATGTGCAGAATTAAAACAATTATATATAAACTACACATACGTTAACTGGTATTTGCACAGAATAGAGGAAATTAAATAGGTGACAGAATTGCTAATCTAGATCTCAAGCAGATTCAAAAAGTGAGGACAGAACACACAATGAGAAAACCTGATAATAAAATAACTAGACTGTCCAGCACTGAAACCCAGTGTCAAAAGATAAAAGGCAGAAGAAGAAAAAGTACGTTATCTTCTAGAATTAGCCAGAACTGTCATAGTAAACACCTTCATGGAAAAAGCTCCGGCTACAACAGGGAAAAACAGCAATATTCAGAAACTTACCTGGACTAAGGTTTTGAAAAGCAATGGATTGAAGACAAGCACTGGTAATCTGATGTGACCAAAGTGACCAGGACAGTTTTTATCACTTTGACCACAGCTTTCACAACGATCGAATCTTTGACTTGGACCTTGAACAAAACAAACAATAATAATACTGAATGGCAAATAACTAAAATGAAGAGCACAGAAATAATAAGGCTACAACTGAAATGATTAACTCCTATGTCTGTATGGCTTTAAGCAGTGAGTGGCTCCCAACTTTTCAGGGGTTTTTCTTGTTAAGTGACCACATCATGCATGATTTAGGGACATCCCATATTACAGGGGGGTTAGGGCTAGGGTCAGTAGTAGTCGGCATTCATTAACACTAACCCTAACTGCCTATAATATGGGATGTCCCTAAATCACGCGTGATGTGGTCGCGTATCACTTCTGTGGTTATCTCCCCTGTGACACTGCAGTAAATCTATTCAACTAAGTGATCAAAAAGCAACAGAGAATCTTGCTCGATCTTTTTCCACAGTTATAGTGGTCTGCCAAAAGTTTGCATAGAGCATAGATTCTGTGGATCCAACAATGGCCCTAAGGATTCTCCACACACACAAAATGGCACAGATGAAATACATGTTACAAAAATGGAACCATTAGTTATCTTTTTTTGCAATTTAATTTTATCTCGTCGCTCAGTGTGTACAATAAAGGACAACTAAATGCTTCAGATCCAGATCATAGTCCTGCATTTAAACAATGCATCATCAGCAAAGCTTATACTGTTGATGTTACGCTCTTCAGTGGCAACTCTTCTCTTTAAATGCCATATTATCATCCCTGCCTAAAGAAAAGTGGTGAAAACATTTCGCATCCATGTCGCACACCTGTCTCTGATATGTCTCATTTGTTTCTACCCCAATGTCTGAACATCTTTCATGTTATCTGTCCTGACATTTCTAACATTGTTCAGTGTAAATACATTACTACTGCTTGTAACATGTGGTCACTGAAGGATTAGTGCAAGAAGACTAAAGGGGCAAAATTGCGGTGAGCATTTATGAGTGCATTACTTTCAAATATGGTTTCTTCTTCTCCTATGTTTGCCCTTAAAAGGTGGTTAGCAGGTTGGGATTTGTGATATCTGCACCTTTTACAGGAACACATCCAATTTCAGCAACTCTTAATTAGTCACATTTTACGGCATATGGGGCAGTGAGCCTATCCCCCCCCCCCCCCAAAAAAAAAAACCATTTGGTACCAGAGCCCACACTGGGACAGACAGGGTAAATGTATAGTGAAAGGGACCATTAAGGAAGCCAGATTTCTTAGTATGCTATGATCAAATGTAAGCAGTAAGAGAAATGAAATATCTGATTGTTAACATGCAGAATGAAGAGCCAGTCGTTGACCACATGCAGTGCATTGCTCAGAAAAAGTGTGTATAATTGATCATTTGTGTACACACATAAATGATTTCAGCTGGTTCTGTGCAACATTTAAAAACCATTTTATGTGACTTCCAGTGACAGTTTCATGCACAGGAGCTGTTTTATTTGAATGATCTGGGGCTTTTCATGTGATAAATTTCCCCCCACTATTATAAATGTGCTTTACTCTTAATGTCTAAACATACCTTAACTCTACAAGACTGCTGGCCCGCTATTACAGAAATTTCCTAATCTGCACCTAAACCGCTGTCCCTCAATGTCGGGAATTTGCGTACTATGAGAAAACAATGCGCCACAAACTAAAAATAACTAGCTAATGGTTATCAGAACTCGTTGTTAGTCATTGCGAATTGCAGCCCACGTGTGTCTGGGTTTTCTTTGTGTTGTTTGACGGAAAAAAAATTCTGAAAATTCACAATAAAACGAGCGGCTGATGAACCAGGCAATTCGACAGGAAAGTAAAGTAGGTCTAGGCTTTTCACAGTCCAACATGTAATCGATACTTTGGTTGATTTAGACTCTTGAGGAGTCAGAATTTCATGAAGAATACGTTCCCAGTTGAAGTGATACAGTCACAGTGATGAGGAGAGTCTTGAAAATTATAGATTTAAAACTAGATTGATAGAAAAAAAAGGGCTTGTCCCTCAAACAGCAACATCTGGTGCCCCCTTTGTGAAACTGCCGATATTTCTGGGTAGAATTGCAAACAAAGGTGGAATATTGGTGCTAGATGAAAGGTAAACCTATTTTCTACAATGTGTCCAAGTTTCAACTTATTCTAACCACTTGTTTGCATGTTACTAATATTTGTGTATATTATGTTAGTTTTTCGTGTTGGTGCCCAGGAGCTCGAGTATAGGGGGCAGTTAGGTTCAGGGCCTCAGGTCTGGTAGGATTAAACTATTTTTGCTAAATGATGTTCTGATTATCTCAGAAAGTTAATTTCTCTACATTTCATTTGAAGTGATGATTTTTTTTAAATGATTCTCTGATTCCATCAATATTTATTTGTTCCTGCTATTTAGGCTTTTTTTAATTACTATGTAAATATTCTTACAACAGTGGCAAAGTCTGCATCTGCTACTCTTTATCTTCACTGCAACATAGGCCCTCAAACTCCCGCCAGATCATCATATCCTTTGCTATGGTGTGCAGCTCACTCCATGTCGTCCCCATCTCTACTACTTTCCTGCCTAGTTCCCTTTTTCATGTGTTGATGGTCTGCTATTCCGTTTTTGTTACTCTTAAAATGCTAACCCTTTAATATTTTTATTTATTTTACCAGTTCTGCTGCCCTTGCTACTTCATATGTAGTTTCAACATCTTCTTTTGTCATCTAACTTGTTACTAGGTTATAACCCAGTTCTAACATCCAAGGTGCTAATCCTTGAGCTGTCCCAGGAGGATGGAGTTGTGTCCTCAACCTGGACCCATTTCAGCTTTCTCAGACTACCATCTTCTTCTATCAACTGCTCCTTTAATTTACCTGTTTTTATTTACTTCCGGTAGTGGATCTTGGCTCCCAGGTGGAGTCCTGGGAAGTAAAGGTGGAAAGCATGATGCAAATCACACCACTAAGTGCTGACTGGTCCATAAAATATAGGTCTAACCCTATATGTCTGAAGACACGGTTCTTTTATTTACTGCAGTTGTGTCATTTATTATGTTTTTAATTTGTTACCTTAGTTTACTTAGTGCATGTGACAGCAGTCATGCATTTATCTGCTTTATTTAATCTTACTTTATAATTAATGCTATGTCTCAGATGAGAATCAGTCTTGATAGAAAATAAAGTCTCGCTAAGAGATGAAAATGTCATGACATACCTAGTGCTGGGTCATGCAAACCTCCAATCATCTCTCTCTAACAGATGAAGAAAATATCATGACATACCTAGTGCTGGGTCAAGCAATCCTCCAATCATCTCTCTCTAACAGATGAAAATATCATGACATACCTAGTGCTGGGTCAAGCAAACCTCCAATCATCTCTCTCTAACAGATGAAAATGTCATGACATACCTAATGCTGGGTCATGCAATCCTCCAATCATGTCTCTCTAACAGATGAAAATGTCATATGACATACCTAGTGCTGAGTCATGCAAACCTCCAATCATCTCTCTCTAACAGATGAAAATGCCATGACATACCTAGTGCTGGGTCATGCAATCCTCCAATCATGTCTTTCTAACAGATGAAAATGCCATGACATACCTAGTGCTGGGTCATGCAATCCTCCAATCATGTCTTTCTAACAGATGAAAATGTCATGACATACCTAGTGCTGGGTCATGCTATCCTCCAATCATGTCTTTCTAACAGATGAAAATGTCATGACATACCTAGTGCCGGGTCATGCAATCCTCCAATCATCGCATTCTGTAAAGTATCAAATGTCATGACATACCTAGTGCTGGGTCATGCAATCCTCCAATCATGTCTTTCTAACAGATGAAAATGTCATGACATACCTAGTGCTGGGTCATGCAATCCTCCAATCATGTCTTTCTAACAGATGAAAATGTCATGACATACCTAGTGCTGGGTCATGCAAACCTCCAATCATCTCTCTCTAACAGATGAAAATGTCATGACATACCTAGTGCTGGGTCAAGCAATCCTCCAATCATCTCTCTCTAACAGATGAAAATGTCATGACATACCTAGTGCTGGGTCATGCTATCCTCCAATCATGTCTTTCTAACAGATGAAAATGTCATGACATACCTAGTGCCGGGTCATGCAATCCTCCAATCATCGCATTCTGTAAAGTATCAAATGTCTGTGGGTTGACAATCTCTTTCACGCTCAGCTGCAAAATTTCTGCCTTGCTATATATTCTGAAGTCTGCTCCCTGCAGCCTCAAATATGATGAATCCATTATGGTCATCACTGCCGAGTCACTACATTGAAAGAACAATATGAAGTAGAATTAAAAATAATGATGAAAGCACCAGCTGCTGAAAACAAATGTAACAACAACTATTATACAAACATTATAGCCACCTCATTTTTTTTTCATTATTCCCAAACTGAATATAAGCTCTCCACCAACTCATGCCAAGTCAGACCTTATGCCAGTGTCTGCATCTCACCTCATTTCCTATACATCTTATTCTCCCAGTCTATAATTTCTCTTGTTGTGTTCTGGTTCGCCATTTGGGGGGGGGGGGGGTGGTGGCAGTTGGTTCCACTGCAAAGAAATTATAGTTATTTCATTAAGATTTTTTTTTAATTGTCAGTCCATCGAGGGCCACTGTCTTTAACTCAACCCTCTTTCCACTGGAATATCCTTAGACTAATAAATGTTCATTAACTTAAACAACTGCATTAGAATTCCAAAATCTTGTTTATTTGTATAGGTTCTAGTGTATCACTGGAAACCTCTGCCACAAGCAGAGAACTGTCTCCCTCATGTGATAAAAACATTTCAAGGTATTAATATTAGTCAGTCAATAAAGTGAATCAAGTGTCACTTTCACAATGAAGGTCGGTTGCACAGATCACCGTCTCTCATCCTGGTTGTACACTCTGCCAGAAGACTTTCTGATGTTGATCTCCCACTTGTATCGCTTGCCGATTGTTTCTGCGCTTTCAGTCTTTCTCTCAAGTATGGCTTACAGAAGAGTATAATATCTTTTCATGTGGTCAAACTATTTCATTTTATTTTCTGATTTCTTTCAACAACATTTGAAGTAGTTTATTTCACTATGTATAGCTGTATATTAAAAGACAATTGATCTGTATGTCAGACACAGAATAATATTGAACTTGAACATTATTTACTATATTGCAAGAAATATGAACCCCAAAGAATTCCCCCTTACTTAATGGATACATGACTCGCCACAATAAGTCTACAAAAGTAACCTAGGATGAGATCGCTCTTCTGGAGAACAAGGAAGCAGTAAATAGTACATCTCATCATCATGTAGCAGGTCCTTTGTAGAACGTCGCTCTCATCACAGTCTGCCTGAAAGAAATTCGGTCTCTCGCCAGTTCTCCAGCCTCATGCCCTTTCACACTCAAGGAGTCACTTATATCCTGTGCCCATCTTCGTGTCAGGCGGCTCCTGCCCCTCCTTCCTGGTACCATGCCTTCTGCTATAATTTTTTACAATTCGTGGTGGCGCTTAATATGACCAAAATATTTTAGTTTTCGAGAAAGGGTGCTGTTTATTAGCCAATCTTCCTTGATGTTCAGATCTTTTAAGATGTCAATATTTCTCTTCTTTGTCCAAGATATTCTGAGAATCTTTCTATAGCATTTCAGCTCAAAAGCACCTATTCTCTTTCTTAAGGACTGAGAGATAGTCCACGACTCACATCCGTATGTAGCCACAGGGAAGATGCATGCTCTCAAAATTCAAATCTTTATCTCCTTGCTGGTGCTTAATCATAGACTTTTAAGGCTGTTTAATCTTTGCCTTGCTATTGCCATCCTCCTTTTAATTTCTGTCGAACAGTCTCCATTGTTATTTATTATAGAGCCTAGGTATTCAAAGTTTGTGACATTTTCAATTTCTTCATCATTTATTGTTATTTTTGGGTGACAGCCAGAATAGGACATCTACATCACAAGAATAAAGATTTGCATATGCAATGTCAATATATCTTCAGACATAACAATAGTTTCTCAGATCACTTTAAATATCACCAGAGATAAATTTACACAAGATGATTATCACAAAGATAATTGTTTTTTTTTTAAAAACACTTAAAATATATTAAACTTACTTTTAACACTGTTAGAACTGATATAAGAACTTTCTTAAATCCCCCCCCTCCCCCCCAAAAAAAAATTATAATCATAAATATCCATTGACCTCTATATATTCCACTTATAATCTGGTTGCATTTAACAAGATGTTATTTAAATTACTACTATTGCTAGTTATTAAATACAGTTAAATAAATAATGGTTCCATGAAGCAAGGAAGTCTTTTTATTTTCATTGCAGATTGTCGTCTTGGCCGTCTCATTATAATCATAGTTGGATATTTGGCTACATCTCGATAAAGTATACACCCACTCATGCAGCTGGTTACTTCATAATAACTGAGTGCCCAATATAACAGCAACCAAGCAAATATACAGGTTATTCCACAAATTGCAATTCTGGTGTGAGTCCAGTCTAGCTACTGTGTCTGTCTTGAGTCTGACCAATCAACTGATTAACTCATTTAAAGAGCTCTTTTCACACCCACTGCACAATGAACTAAATACACATAAAGGCATCAGATTTAAACAAGGGCAGTCTTGGTTGGGCCAGGCAGAGACGGTACTTCAGCGGGTGATTTCCCTTTTAGACAAAAACCATGGTGGGGAATGGATACCCATACCAAATGAATACAAGCAGTACTTTGTGGTGGTTATCACCCTGACAGGATAGTGCCATGATTTAGCGCCACCAATAGTTGATGCGGAAATGAAAGTACTGGTTGAAGAACACAGATCACCGGAAGATGCTGTTCGAAGAAGACAGTGGAGTCTTTGCTTCTATCACCAGCAGCATGGCCAAGGAGGTCAAGGCTGTGACAAAGGCTCTAGAATGGCTGAAAACTCAGGAGTTCACCAATACTTTGCTCAGCAACTCAATGAACATGCTACAGAAGATCAAAGTGGTGTACAGGAAACTAGCTCCATCTGATACAGTACGCAGCATTTTGCAAAATCACCTTCATTTTTGGCATGCTGGTGTTAAAGGCAATGAGAGAGCAGATGCTCTGGCTGTCTGTGCGACTATCAGGAATGCGTCATCTATGGGCAGGAAAGACATCATCAATGCCACACGAGAGACTAAATGCTGAGATCCCTGTGTTAGTTCCTGAGCCCCATTGTGGGCAAAACAAGAATAGACCCACTGCCTGCCCAACAAGCATGTTGTAAAAAGCGACTAATTTGAGGGGGGGGGGGGGGGGGGGAGCTTCCTTCGAAGTCAGAGTGCATCTGCTTAAAAAATATCCAAGACCTGTAAAACGGATGCACATGCAACACTCAGGTCCTGGAAAAGACTGCATACCTGGGTGTACCAATTTGTTACACAAGACAGGAAAGCAATGCAGGAGTCACCCGTCATTCTTTAACCAGAACAGAATAGAAGCTATTAGCCTAAAAACACTTGGAGACATACTCAAGAGGAGATCAGAGTGCTTATGGTTATGTCTGATGAAGATGATCTGAACGATGAACAATCTTGTCAACATTGTCCTCAACAACATGAAGATAAATAACAGTATGCTCCACGCTGCATGTATCAGCATGGGAGATACTCTCGGAAGTCCGCAATTTAGATATGAGATTGAAGCCCTGTCAGGGTGTGTTTTTGGCCGCCATAATATGTGCCCGTTATTCGGAGGATAGCCTACATTTGATTCCAAGAGCGGTTACAACATTTGGCTCTCATGAGGAGACGCCATTAAGGTGATGGAGTTTTTCTGGAGGGAGCACAATTAAATATCTTAACCTGCACAGTCTGTTGCGACAGCACTAGCCAGGCAGCCCAAAATGCTCAGGATCAAACCCCCCCCCCCCCACCCCTCTACAATTCTACATCGCCCTAAAAAGGCGGCCAGACAGACAGTAGTTACAGGTTTTTTTTTGGTAACATATGAATCAGAAAGTTAAATTAAAGCCCTGTAAACATGAAGACAAACAGGGTTATCCTCTGAATAACGGTCCTAAATTATCGAGGCGGAAAATATACCCTAACAGTTAACAGGGCCTCAGTCATGTGTCAATTGCGCACTTCCAGGGACTATAGCCCCACCACCGAATTGCGAACTTCCGTCGACTTACACCACAGCTGGGGCTAACTAGATGGCTGGGACTCACAAGCAAATAAAATAAAGGAAGCGGCAGGAGATGCGGTAGCTGCTGCTCGTGAGTCCCAGCCATCTAGTTTAGCCCCAATCCGCGCCGTGTGAGCGTAAGTGCGCAATTTAAGACGATGGAAGTACGCAATTGACACGGGAACTGAGGCCCTGTTAGGGTATATTATCCGCCTCGATAATTTAGGACCGTTATATTATTCGGAGGATAGCTGACAAACAGCTCAACAGCTGCTTATATTACAGGGAAACAGATAATTATGTACAGAGGTTCTGGGGGGACTGGTAATACTAATAATAAATGAAAAATAGAGTATGTATGTATAATGTATTATTCTTATCATTTATCATTTTATAATTGATTGTAATCAAATGTAATGGTGCAATGCATCATCACAGTATTTTTTTTTCTTTTTTCTCTGACGTTTCAGTGAGTGATGTTAAATAAATCATGATCATGGTTGCCTTTAACTATTCTCACATGTCCTGTTCTTGGGTCTGCAAATACTGAAAGTGAACATCCTCTTGTATTTAGAAATAACTTGTAGCAAAGTCAGAATTTGAACAACAATCCTCTGCGATTTCGGTTCCTGTCTTAATTTAACTTTAATAAAATTTATAAATAAAAGTCGGTTACGTACGGGTTATTGTATCGGTCATATTATTTCTCTCACACTTGAAGAATACGGATGAAAACTGATATATTATTATTTTTATCTGATTGGTTAAATGTGCCCGTTGTAAAAACCGACTTACGTAGAAACAACAACACAGTAGTTCAGTAGTTAGACCACCTGTCCAGCTCGTGGAGAAAACATATCCATAAGGGGACTTTACTCTGTGTGACAATACTATAGAGACTATAGGGCGATTTCGCATGCTGTCAATCATCATCATCATGAAGCAGGTCCTTTGCAGAACGTCGCTCTCATCACAGTCTGCCTGGAAGAAACTCGGTCTCTCGCCAGTTCTCCCGCCTTATGTACTTTCATACTCAAGAAGTAACTTATATCCTGTGCCCATCTTCGTGTCAGTCGGACCTTGCCCCTCCT